ATATGTGTAGACTTCTTTTCACAACAAGAAACTTAAAACATATTTAAAATGGCAAATTTGTAAATGGATCTAATTTCATATCAATTATAATCATCAAAAAGGAAAATTTAATTGAATAATTAAATGCAAAATCCTTATTTCTCTATAAGAAATAAAAAACATGTTTTTGAGTATCGTGACGTGTCAACTAGAAAAATGTCAGGGGATTTTCCTTCAAGTTGGTAACATTGCACACTACCGCAATTTCATTGGTTGAAAAGTTGAAAACCCAACTTCACCATGAACGAAGGCGGATTTACACCCACGAATTTTGAGCGGTCGGTTTGCATCGTTTACACTCGCCCAATTTTTGACAAGTGTCACGTGCCAATGAAAGTCCGGTTCGTTTTAAATAATTTATTACATCAACTTTTTTTTGCGTTTTTGTTATTTGACTGACTTCTGCCTTTGTTGCATCTACAGTACCGTTTACTGTCCTATCGCAGAGACACAACCCTGCTCTGTATTAAACATAGAATAGAGTGAATACAATTTTCGTCTTAACCTTATTTTGTACAGTTTAAAACTAATTATTTACAAATTTCATTCGCAATACACTCACTAGAACCTCGAACATATACGTTTTTCGTTAATGTACAGTACATAATATAAAATAAAAGTAATACATCAAGGCTAGAGATCTAAGAACAGGGCCAGACCCTTGCTGTGGGTGGTCGGAGACTGCGCGTTCCGATTGGCGTGTGTGCGACCTTTTCAGACCTAAAACACCTCCGAAAATGCCGCCCACAAAAAATTGAGTAAAACCGCAATAAAATGACTAGATCCTAGGGCTAAAAACAATCCAAGTCTCGACGGCAAAAATCAATATGGAATGTGAGAAACTCGTTTGACAACGAACGCGGGCGCTCCCACCACCCAAACAAAATTAAAAAATCACCGTAAATAATATAGAAATCACATATTAGTAGAACATCCACGCCAACACTCATACGCTCTATCATACAAGAGGGGCCGTTTCATCCCTTCAAGGCCACTAGCTGGGTCTGCTCACAACCACCACCGGCTTCACCACGTACTGGGCGTTCACCAGCGGAACCACCTTGCCGTTTATTTGCTGCTGAGTAATAAAATGAGTCGATACCAGGGGCGTCAGTTCGGTTAACCCTTTCGGGACGATCAACTTCTGCAAAACCAACCCCTGGGGGACCGAGTAGCCCACGGGCAGCACCGAGAGCGCGGTCGTCTGAACTGGCTGAGTCACCTTCAAAAAACACATTTCAGTTGGCGGAAAACAAAATCCCCCAGACGTAACGTCAAACTCACCTCCTTGATCGTCCCCACTTGCGTCGTCGCGATGGAGATCTGCGTCTTGTTCGGCAGCAGCGGGATCTGGATCCTGTCCCCGTTCTGGCCGCTCACCGCCTCCACCTTGATCTCGTCGCTCGTGATCGTCTGCGAGGCGGTCGTCACCGGCACCACCTCGGGCAGGATTTTCGAAAAGTCCACGTTGTCGTAGTGGGCTTGGATGTCTTTCTTTAGTACGGCGAGCTTCTGCTGGGCGGCGATTTTGTCCCTCGCCAGTCGCTCCATCTCGTGCTCCAGCTCCCGCTCCTTCCGCTTCAGCGACTGGATGCACCTCAAGGCCGAATGGAGGATGCTCAAGTTGGACGTCTTCTTCTCGTCCTGGGTCTGCCATTTTGCCATTTTGTTTTTAAATGTGTAGATTTCTTTTTACAACATGAAACTTACATGTTTAAAATGGAAAATTTGTATAAGGAAATATCAATATTGCAACTAGGCACCGCCCCATAATTGCAAAATCCATGTTTCCTTGCAAAAATGTACCATTTTAACCATATTTTAAGCTTTTTGTTGTGAAAAAATGACTATACATTTTAAGAAAACGAGGCAAAATATAAGCCCCGCCCACCCACCCTATCGCGTTTGTGATGATTTTTTTATTCGTCGTGAGCCAAGAGGGCGGAGCTTAACTGCAAAATTTTTGCGCCACGAGAAATTAAAAACACGTTTTTGAGTATCGTGTTATTTCGTGTTTCGATTTCTCAATTTTCGATTTTTCAACTTCTCGACATTCCGATTTCTCGATGTTTCAATTTTTCAATTGAAGAATTCATAAACTGAAAAATCCCAAAACTGAGAAATCCAAAACTCGAAAAACTGAGAATTCTAAAAATTGAAAAACTGAAAAATCAAAAACTTGGAAAATTGAGAATTCTAAAAATCGAAGTCAAAAAATTTTTAAAAATCAAAAAAATTGAAAAAATCGGAAATATCGGAGAGCTTAAAAATCCAAGGATGGGAAAATTGAAAAATCCAAAAATCTAAAATTTGAATCCACGGAAAATTGAAGAATCGAAAAACTCAATCAAGAAATTAAAAAATTTCAAAACAGATATGAAAATTGAGAAACATCGAGAAATCGAAAGAGCAATTTTTCAATTTATCGGTTCTTCCATTCTTCAGTTCATCGAGATTTCTATTTGATTTTCGAATTTTTCTACTTCTTGGTTGTAGATTTTTCAATTTTTTGGTTTTTCAGAATTTTTGATTTTTCAAATTCTTAATTTATCGAGATTTCGGTAATTTTAATATGTGCAGACTTCTTTTCACAACAAGAAACTTAAAACATATTTAAAATGGCAAATTTGTATAAGGAAATATCGATTTTGCAATTATGGGGCGGAGCCTAATTACAAAATCAATATTTCCCTATACAAATTTACCATTTTAAACATGTTTTAAGTTTCTTGTTGTGAAAAGATTGCTAGGTATATTAAGAAAGAAAAGGCAAAATATAAGGCCCGCCCACCCGCCCTGTCTCTATTGTAATGATTTTTTTATTCGTTGTGAGTCAAGGGGGCGGAGCTTTAACTGCAAAATCCTTATTTCTCTAAAGAAATAAAAAAATGTGTTCGAGTATCGTGTTGTTCAAAGAATACTAAATATTAAGAGAAAAACAAGCCAAAAATTGAGCTCCACCCATACCCATCCCAAGCTCAATTGTGACGAATTTTTCATACGTTGTCAGACCTAGGGGCGGAGTTTAATTGCAAAATCGATATTTCCCTGTACAAATTTACCATTTTAAACACGTTCCAAGTTTTTTGTTGTGAAAATATGACTATACATTTTAAGAAAACAAAGCAAAATATAAACCCCGCCCACCCACCCAATCTCAATTGTTACGATTTTTTTATTCGTCGTGAGTCAAGGGGGCGGAGCTTATCTGCAAAATCTTTATTTCTTTACGAGAAATTAAAAACATGTTTTTGAGTATTGTGTTGTTCAAAGAATATTAGGTATATTTAGAACAAATTAAAGCCCACCCCTACCTTCCCTGATCTAAATAGTAATGAAGTTTTCATACGTTAGAAAACCTAGGGGCGGAGCCTAACTGCAAAATCCCTCTTTCTTTACAAAAATTTACCATTTTCAACGTGTTGCTAAGAAAAAAAATCATCACAATTGGGATGGGGTGGGTGGGCGGGGTTAATATTTTAGCTTTATTTCTTGATATACATGGTATTCAAAAAAAAAACCCGATCTCAAAATCATTTTTTTTTATTTCTTGTAAAGAAATCAGTATTTTGCAGTTAAGCTCCGCCCTCTTGGTTTGCGGCGAATAAAAAAATCATCACAATTGAGATCGGGTGGGTGGGCGGGGTTTATATTTTGTTTTTTTTTTCTTGATATACATAATATTCGTTGAACCTGATACTCAAAAACATGTTTTTAATTTCTTGTAAAGAAGTAAGTGTTTTACAGTTAAGCTCCTCCCCTTTAGTTCACGGCGAATAAAAAAAAATCATCACAAATGAGATAGGGTGGGTGGGCGGGCTGACATTTTGCCTTTTTGTTTTAATACATGTGTAGACTTCTTTTCATAACAAGAAACTTAAAACATATATGGATAAAGCTTGTTGGGCAATAAATTTATTATTTATTTATATTTAAAATGGCAAATTTGTATAAGGAAATATCGATTTTGAAATTATGGGGCGGAGTTTAATTATAAAATCGATATTTCCCTATACAAAGTTACCAGTTTAAACATGTTTTAAGTTTTTTGTTGCGAAAAAATGACTATACATTTTAAGAAGACAAGGAAAAATATAAGCCCCGCCCACCCACCCAATCTCAATTGTGACTATTTTTTTATTCGTCGTGAGCCAAGGGGGCGGAGCTTAACTGCAAAATCTGTATTTCTCTACGAACAAAATGTAGCCCCACCCACCCGCCCTATCTCAATTCTAATGATTTTTTTTTATTCGTCGTAAGCCGAGAGGCGGAGCCTAATTGCAAAATCCATATTTCCTTACACTAATTTCCGATTTAAACGTATTTTAAGTTTCTAAGAATAAAAAAATCATCACAACTGAGATCGGGTGGGTGGGCGGGGTTTCCGTTTATATTTTAGCTTTTTTTCTTGATATACATAATATTCTTTAACCCATGTCCAAAAACATGTTTTTAATTTCTTGTAAAGAAATAAGTATTTTGCAGTTAAGCTCCGCCCTCTTGGTTCACGGCGAATAAAAAAAATCATCACAATTGAGATAGGGCGGGTGGGCGGGCTGACATTTTGCCTTTTTGTTTTAATATGTGTAGACTTCTTTTCACAACAAGAAACTTAAAACATATTTAAAATGGCAAATTTGTAAATGGATCTAATTTCATATCAATTATAATCATCAAAAAGGAAAATTTAATTGAATAATTAAATGCAAAATCCTTATTTCTCTATAAGAAATAAAAAACATGTTTTTGAGTATCGTGACGTGTCAACTAGAAAAATGTCAGGGGATTTTCCTTCAAGTTGGTAACATTGCACACTACCGCAATTTCATTGGTTGAAAAGTTGAAAACCCAACTTCACCATGAACGAAGGCGGATTTACACCCACGAATTTTGAGCGGTCGGTTTGCATCGTTTACACTCGCCCAATTTTTGACAAGTGTCACGTGCCAATGAAAGTCCGGTTCGTTTTAAATAATTTATTACATCAACTTTTTTTTGCGTTTTTGTTATTTGACTGACTTCTGCCTTTGTTGCATCTACAGTACCGTTTACTGTCCTATCGCAGAGACACAACCCTGCTCTGTATTAAACATAGAATAGAGTGAATACAATTTTCGTCTTAACCTTATTTTGTACAGTTTAAAACTAATTATTTACAAATTTCATTCGCAATACACTCACTAGAACCTCGAACATATACGTTTTTCGTTAATGTACAGTACATAATATAAAATAAAAGTAATACATCAAGGCTAGAGATCTAAGAACAGGGCCAGACCCTTGCTGTGGGTGGTCGGAGACTGCGCGTTCCGATTGGCGTGTGTGCGACCTTTTCAGACCTAAAACACCTCCGAAAATGCCGCCCACAAAAAATTGAGTAAAACCGCAATAAAATGACTAGATCCTAGGGCTAAAAACAATCCAAGTCTCGACGGCAAAAATCAATATGGAATGTGAGAAACTCGTTTGACAACGAACGCGGGCGCTCCCACCACCCAAACAAAATTAAAAAATCACCGTAAATAATATAGAAATCACATATTAGTAGAACATCCACGCCAACACTCATACGCTCTATCATACAAGAGGGGCCGTTTCATCCCTTCAAGGCCACTAGCTGGGTCTGCTCACAACCACCACCGGCTTCACCACGTACTGGGCGTTCACCAGCGGAACCACCTTGCCGTTTATTTGCTGCTGAGTAATAAAATGAGTCGATACCAGGGGCGTCAGTTCGGTTAACCCTTTCGGGACGATCAACTTCTGCAAAACCAACCCCTGGGGGACCGAGTAGCCCACGGGCAGCACCGAGAGCGCGGTCGTCTGAACTGGCTGAGTCACCTTCAAAAAACACATTTCAGTTGGCGGAAAACAAAATCCCCCAGACGTAACGTCAAACTCACCTCCTTGATCGTCCCCACTTGCGTCGTCGCGATGGAGATCTGCGTCTTGTTCGGCAGCAGCGGGATCTGGATCCTGTCCCCGTTCTGGCCGCTCACCGCCTCCACCTTGATCTCGTCGCTCGTGATCGTCTGCGAGGCGGTCGTCACCGGCACCACCTCGGGCAGGATTTTCGAAAAGTCCACGTTGTCGTAGTGGGCTTGGATGTCTTTCTTTAGTACGGCGAGCTTCTGCTGGGCGGCGATTTTGTCCCTCGCGAGCCGCTCCATCTCGTGCTCCAGCTCCCGCTCCTTCCGCTTCAGCGACTGGATGCACCTCAAGGCCGAATGGAGGATGCTCAAGTTGGACGTCTTCTTCTCGTCCTGGGTCTGCGGCAGCTGCTTCTTCAGGACGTCGAAGCACTCCTTGAGGTGCGCCCGCCGGTGCTTCTCCAGCTTGTTGTGGACCTCCCTGGTGCCGGCCCGGAACACCATGGGGGGCTGCTTCCGCTTGACCTCGGCGCCGGACTCGTCGATCACGAGGGGGTTCATGATGTCGAAGCTGTTGTGGAGGATGCGGTGGCGGGGCTGGGGGACGGTGCTGGACACCACCTTCACCAATAAAAAATAAAATAAAGAAAAGAGTGGTCATCAGAGATGCTGGTCGCCAATCGCGTGACACAAATTCGGCGCGCTTTTCAAACTGTACCAATCAAAACGGTCCGTACCTGTTGTTGCTCGGCTTGGGGCTGCTTCTTCAAGGTCTCCTGCGCCAGCGTGAGTAAGTTGGGGGCCATGTCGGGGGAGGTGATCAAGACGGCGGGCACGTGCGAGGTTTTTTGCACGGTCTGGCCTTGACTAGGCGACGACTTCGAACTTCCCGCCTCTGCGGCGCGCTGCTGTTGCTCCTTCTGTTCTTGCATTTCCAGAAACTTTGCTGCTTCGATTAGTGTGTTCAAACTCATTTTGGTGAACTGGAACCAGAAATACGGGTTAGGTACTCATGGGGTAAAGGGGCGGTTTATGTACGTGGAAGTGTTTGAGTGACGCGAACACGTGTGTGTGACGTGTGGGCACGTGATCTGTCAAAGGTGGAGTTGGCGGGGAGCGGACGGCATTTTGTGCCGCGCGACGGCGCGAAATTTAAAAATTGGGGCAATCGAAATAGCGCTTTTCCAAATTTTTCTATGTCGATTTTTCAGTTCATCGATATTTCTATTTGATTTTCGAATTTTTAAATGTTTCGATTTTTCAGTATTTTTTGAAATTTTGAAAAATCGAGAAATCGAAAACTTGGAAAATTGAAGAGTCAAAAAATCGTAAAATCTAAAAAATTAAAAATAGAGAAATATCCGAAAACTGAAAATTTGAGAAATCGAAAATTTTTAAAAATCGGAAAATTGAAAAACTTAATCAAGAAATTAAAAAAATTCAAAAATGTCGAAAGATTATTATTAATTATATGTCGATTTTTTAGTTCATCAATATTTCTATTTAATTTTCGAACTTTTATTTTTCATTTTTCCGTATTTTTGATTTTTCAAATTCTTAATTTTTGAGATTTCGGTTGTTTCGATCTTTCGATTGTTCAATTTGTCAATTTATCGATTTTTTATTTTAAATTTCTCAATTCTTTTTTTTTAATTTAAAATTTAATTTGAAAGTTTTCGATTTTTAATGTTTTGATTTCTCAATTTTCAATTTTTCGACTTCTCGACATTTCGAGTTCTCGATGTTGTTTCAGTTTATCAATTGAAGAAAGAATTCATAAAATGAAGAATCCCAAAACTGAGAAATCGAAAACCCGAAAAGTCGAGAAATCGAAAAACTGAAAAATGAAGAAACTGAAAAACCCCAAACCAGAAAGGACGAAAAATTGATAAATCGAAATTTTCAACGACGAAAAGCCTGGAAAATCGAAAAATCGACAAAACCGAGAAATTTTTCAATTTTGGAAATTTTTGATTTTCCGATATCTCGATTTTTTTATTTTTCACTTTTTAGATATTTTCATTTTTCGCTATTTTGCATGGTTTTGGATTTTTGGATTTTTCTATTTTTCAGTTGATTGATTTTTCGAATTCTCAAAATTTCGGTGTTTCGATCTTTTTAATTCCTCGACTTTTGTTAATTATAAATTTCTCAATTACTCAATTTTTCTGATTTGAATTTTTTCAAATTTTCATGAAACTTTTCGATTTTGGGCGAATTCAATTTCTTAATAATCGAAAAATCCCAAAACTGAAACATCGAAAAATTCAAAAATCAAGAAACCGAAAATTCGAAAATTTTAGAAAAAGGAAAATTGACACATCGAAAAATCAATTTTTTTAAATATCGAAAAATCTAAAATCTAAATAAAAACTCGAAAAATCCAAATTTGAAATGTTGCAAAATTGAGAAATCGAAAACTTGAAAAATCGAGAAAACAAGAAATCGACAGATCAAAAAATTGTAAAATCGAAAAATTTAAATGTCGAAAAACTGAAAAATCAAAAATTTAAAATTTTGAATTATTGCTTATCTCAATTTTTCGATTTCGGTTTTTCGATTTTTCAATTTTTCAAACTTCCTGTTTTTTGAAATTCCGGTTTCCCGAATTTTTTCATTTTTTAATTTGAAACTTTTTCATTACCTACTCAATTTTCGATTTTTCGAGTTCTCCACGTTTCGATTTCTCGATGTTTCAATTTTTCAGTTGAAGAATTCACAAATTGAAAAATCCCAAAACTGAGAAATCCAAAACTCGAAAAATTAAAAAATCAAAAATTTAAAAACTCAAAAAATTGAAAAATTCGCAAAATCGAAATTTTGAGAAACCGAAAAATGGAAAATTTTAAAATTGCAAATTCTAAAAATCAAAAAATCCAAACAATTTTTAAAAATCAAAAAACCGGCATGTCAAGAAATTGAAACATCAAAAAATCGTAAAATCGAAAAACGGAGAAATCGAAATTAAAAAAAAATTGAAAAAGCTAAAATTTTAGAAATCGGAAAATTGAAAAAGCGAAAAATTTTATCAATAAATTATAAAAATTCAAAACAGAAATGTCGAAAAATTAGGAAATCGAAATTACGATTTTTCAATTTTTCGGTTCTCCAATTCTTTGATACCTCGATTTTTCAATTCATCAATATTTCTATTCAATTTTCGAATTTTTAGATTTTGAATTTTTCATTTTTTGTTGTTCGATTTCTCGATTTTTCAGTATGTATTTTTGATTTTTCAAATTCTTGATTTTCGAGATTTCGGTTGTTTGGATCTTTCCATTGTTCAGTTTCTCAATTAATCGATTCTGTTTATTTTAACTTTTTTTTTTTTAATTTAAAATTTTGTTAATTTTTTTATTTTAAACTTTTCAATTTTGGGGTATTTTGATTTCTCAAGTTCCAGTTTTTCGACTTCTCGACATTTCGATATCTCGATGTTTCAGTTTTTCACTTGAAGAATTCACAAATTGAAGAATCCCAAAACTGAGAAATCGAAAACTCGAAAAACTGAAAATTCTAAAAATTGAAAAACTGAAAAATCGAAAACTTTTAATCCAAAATCGAACTAAAAAATCGAAAACTCAAGAAAATCGCAAAATTTAAAAACTCGAGAAATTGAAATTTTGAAAAAGCGAAAACTTGAAAATTGAGAATTCTAGAAATTGAAGAGTCAAAAAATTTTTAAAAATCAAAAACCCGAGATGTGAAGAAATAGAAACAAAAAAATCGTAAAAACTGAAAAAAATGAAAAATAGAGCAATCGAAAATTTGATTTTCCTACTTTTAGATTTTGAATTTTTCATTTTTTGTTGTTTCGATTTCTTGATTTTTCGACTTCTTGATTTTCGAGATGACAGTTTCTCAATTTATCGATTTTTTTTTTATTTTAAATTTCTCATTATTTTATTTTGTTTTATTTAAAACTTTTCAATTTTTCAATTTGAACTTGTCGATTTTGGGCTATTTCGATTTTTCGACTTTTCGATGTTTCAGTTTATTAATTGAAAAATTCATACATTGAAAAATCCCAAAATTCAAACATCGAAAAATTGACAAATCGGGAAATCGAAAATTCGAAAAATTTTAAATTTCAAAAATTAAAAAACTGAAAAATCGAAAAATTTTAAAATCGAACAATTGGTAAATCGAAAAATAAAAAAATCTCAAACTTGAAATGTTGAAGAAATTTAAATTCAAAAATCGAAGTCAAAAATTTTTTTTAAATCGAGAAATAGAGAAATGTGGAACTACTGAAAAACCGAAAACTCAAAATCCGAAAAGTGGAAAAAATCTAAAATTTAAAAATTAGAAAAATTCAAATGCCGAAAAATTGAGAAATCGAAAAAACGAGATGTCAAGAAACAAAAATTCGTAAAATCGAAAAACTAAAAAATCGAAAAACTCGATCAAGAATTTAAAAAATTTCAACACAGAAATGAAAAAATCGGGAAATCGAAACATCGAAAAATCGACAAAACCGAGAAATCGAAACAGCGATTTTCCGATTTTTCAGTGCTTTGATATTTCCATTTCTCGATTTTTAGACTTTTTGGTTTAGATTTTTCAAATTTTCGATTTTTCAAATTCTTGATTTATCGATTTTTTTTTCTTTTAAATTTCTTAATTTTTAATTTTTTTTATTTGAAACTTGATTTTGGGCTATTTCGACTCACCGATGTTTCATTTTTTGAGTACAAGAATTCATAAATTGAAGAATCCCAAAACTGAGAAAACGAAAATTCAAAAATTGAAAAAAATAAAAATCGAAAAATTTTTAAATCAAACAATTAAACTGAAAAAACAAAATCCGAAAAGTCAAAAATTTGAGTATTCGGAACATCGAAAAATCTAAAATCTAAAAACTCAAAATGTTGAAGAATTGAAAAATCGAGAAATCAAAAAATTGAAGTCACAAAATTTTTGAAAATTGAAAGTCGAGACGTGAAGTCGAAAAATTGAAATTTCAAAATTTAAAATTTTGAAAAATAGAGAACCAGCGAAAAAAAGAAAAATCGAAAAGTCGAGAAATCGAAAAATCTTAAAAAAAAAATGGAAAAATTAAACGATTGAAGGATCGAAAAATTGAGAATTCAAAATTACAAAAATCTAAAGTTTCAAAATAAAATCGGAAAATCGAAAAACTGAAAAATGAAGAAATTGAAAAACAAAGTTGATTGATTTTTCGAATCCTCGATTATCGTGATTTTGGTGTTTCGATCTTGTGATTATTCAATTTCTCGATTTATTTTAAATTTTCATGAAACTTCGAATTTGGGCTAATTTGATCCCATAATTTTTCGACTTTTCAACAGTTCGATTTCTCGACTTTTGGTTTTTCAATTAAAAAATCCATAAACCGAAAAATTCCAGAACTGAACCATCGAAAAATTGAAAAATCAAGAAACCATAAAACTCGAAAATAAAAAAAACGCAAAATTGAGACACCTAAAAATCAAATACTGATTTTAAAAACCGAAAAATCAAAATCCGAAAAATCGGGCAATCGAAATACCAAAAAACTCGTAAAATCTAAAATTTAAAATTTCGAAAAATCCAAAACTGAAAAATTTGTAAAAATATAAAAAAAGTCGAAAAATCAGAAATCTAAAAACCGAAGTCAAAAAATATTTAAAAATGGAAACATTTAAATATCAAGAAATTGAAAAATCAATAGTTTAAAATTTCGAAAAATAAATACATTTTTCAATTTTTTGATTTTTCAATTTTTTTAATTGTCATTTTTTCGAATTTTCAGTTTTTTTATTTTTCTAATTCTCGATTTATTGACACTTTGGCGTTTTTCTCATTTTTTTAAATTTCGAATTAATCAATTTTTCAATTTGAAACTTTTCGATTTTTCGAATTTGGGCTATTTCGATTTTTCTACTTCTCGATGTTTTGATGTCTCAATTTCTCGACGTTTCAGTTTTTCAATTGACGAATCCATAAATTGAAAAATCCCAAAACTGAGAAATCCAAAACTCGAAATTTTGAAAAACCGAGAAATCGAAAAATTGTAAAATTGAGAATTCTAAAAATCAAAAATGTCAATTTTTAAAAATCAAAAAATCGAAATTAAAAAAAAATGAAAAAGCTAAATTTTTAGAAATCGGAAAATTGAAAAAGCGAAAAACTTAATCAATAAATTAAAAATTTCAAAACAGAAATGTCGAAAAATTAGGAAATCGAAACATCAAAAAATCGACAAAATCGAGAAATCGAAATTACGGTTTTTCAATTTTTCAGTATTTTTGAGTTTTCAAATTCTTGATTTTCGAGATTTCGGTTGTTTCGATCTCTCGTTTGTTCAGTTTCTCAATTTATCGACTTTTTTTTATTTTTAATTTCTCAATTTTTTATTTTGTTTTGTTTAAAACTTTCCAATTTTTCAATTTGGACTTTTCGATTTTGGGCTATTTTTCGATGTTTCAGTTTATTAATTGAAAAATTCATACATTGAAATATCGAAAAATCGAGAAATCGAAAATTCGAAAAATTTAAAATTTCAAAAGTTGAAAAACTGAAAAAATTTAAAATCAGACAATTGCAAAAGCGATAAATAAAAAAAAATCGCAAACTTGAAATGTCGAAAAATTGGGAAATTCAAATTTAAAAATCGAAGTCAAAAATCTTTTTAAATTCGAAAAATCGAGATGTCAAGGAATCGAAACATCAAAAATTCGAAAAATCTAAAATTTAAAAATTAAAAAAAATTAAATGCCGAAAAATTGAGAAATCGAAAAACTCAATCAAGAATTTAAAAAATTTCCAAATAGAAATGGAAAAATCGGGAAATCGAAACATAGAAAAATCGACAAAACCGAGAAATCGAAAAATTGAAGTCACAAAATTTTTTAAAATTGAAAGCCGAGCTGCAAGATATGGAAACATCCTGAGGCCGAAAAATTGAAATTTCGAAAATTTAAAATTTTGAAAAATTGAAAAATAAAGAAAATCGAAAAGACGAGAAATCGAAAAATCTTCAAAAAATTGAAAAATTAAACGATTGAAGGATGGAAAAATTGAGAATTCAAAATTACAAAAATCAAAAATTTAAAAATAAAATTGGAAAATCGAAAAACTGAAAAATGAAGAAATTGAAAAACAAAGTTGATTGCTTTTTCGAATTCTCGATTATCGTTTCGATCTTTCGATTATTCAATTTCTCGATTTTTTTTAATTTTAAATTTCTCAATTACTCAATTTTTCTGATTTAAATTTTTTCCAATTTTCATGAAACTTTTCGATTTTGGGCGAATTCGATTTCTTAATTTTTCGATTTCTCGATGTTTCAGTTTTCACTTAAAGAATCTATAAATCGAAAAATCCCAAAACTGAAACAACGAAAAATTGAGACATCGAAAAATCAAATATTTTAAAAACCAAAAATCAAAATCCGAAAAGTCGAGTAATCGAAATATCAAAAAATCGAAAAATCTAAAAATTCAAAACTCGAAAAATCCAAAATTGAAATGATGCAAAACTGAGAAATCGAAAAAATTAAATATCGAAAAACTCAAAAATCAAAAATTTAAAATTTTCAATTATTGCGTATCTCAATTTTTCGGTTTTTCAATTTTTTAATTTGAAACTTTTCCATTACCTACTCAACTTTTGATTTTTCGACTTCTCCACGTCGATTTCTCGATGTTTCAATTATTCAATTTAAAAATTCATAAATTGAAAAATCCCAAAACTGAGAAATCCAAAACTTGAAAAACTGAAAAATCGAAAAATTAACAAATCAAAAATTTTGAAAAATCTAGAAATCGAGAACTTGTAAAATTGAGAATTCTAAAAATCAAAAAATCGTAAAATCGAAAAACTAAAAAATCGAGAAATCGAAATTTAAAAAAAAAATGAAAAATCTAAAATTTTAGAAATCGGAAAATTGAAGAAGCGAAAAACTTGATCAAGAAATTAAAAAATTCAATACAGAAATGTCCAAAAATTAGGATATCGAAACATCGAAAAATCGACAAAACCATCGAAATTACGATTTTTCAATTTATCGGTTCTTCAATTCTTTGATACCTCGATTTTTCAATTCATCAATATTTCTATTCAATTTTGGAATTTTTATATTTTGAATTTTTCGTTTTTTATTCGATTTCCCGATTTTTTAACTTCGAGATTTCGATTGTTTGGATCTTTCCATTGTTCAGTTTCTCAATTGATCGATTTTATTTATTTTAAATTTCTTAATTCTTTATTTTTTCAATTCTAAATTTTTCAATTTTTTAATTTGAAACTTTTCGATTTTGGGGTATTTTGATTTCTCAAGTATCAGTTTTTCGACTTCTCGACATTTCGATTTCTCGATGTTTCAGTTTTTCACTTGAAGTATTCACAAATTGAAGAATACCAAAACTGAGAATTCGAAAACTCGAAAAACTGAAAATTCTAAAAATTGAAAAACTGAAAAATCGAAAACTTTTAATTTAAAATCGAACTGAAAAATGGCAAATTTAAAAACTCGAAAAATTGAAATTTTGAAAAATCAAAAACTCGAGATGTGAAGAAATAGAAACGAAAATGAAAAACAGAGAAATCGAAAATTTGATTTTCCAACTTTTAGATTTTGAATTTTTCATTTTTTGTTTCGATTTCTTGATTTTTCGACTTCTCGGTTTTAGATTTTTCAGTTTTTCGATTTTTCAAATTCTTGATTTTCGAGATTTCGGTTGTTTCGATCTTTCGATTGTTCAGTTTCTCAATTTATCGATTTTTTTTTATTTCAAATTTCTCAATTTTTTATTTTGTCTTATTTAAAACTTTTCAATTTTTCAATTTGGACTTTTCGATTTTGGGCTATTTTGATTTCTGAATTTTTCGATTTTTCGATGTTTCAGTTTATTAATTAAAAGATTCATACATTGAAATATCGAAAATTGACAAATCGAGAAATCGAAAATTCGAAAAATTTAAAATTTCAAAAGTTGAAAAACTGAAAAAATTTAAAATCGAACAATTGCAAAATCGATAAATAAAAAAATTCGCAAACTTGAAATGTTGAAAAATTGAGAAATTCAAATTTAAAAATCGAAGTCAAAAATCTTTTTAATCGAATCGAAAAATCGAGATGTCAAGAAATCGAAACATCAAAAATCCGAAAAATCTAAAATTAAAAAATTTTAAAAATTAAAATGCCGAAAAATTGAGAAATCGAAAAACTCAATCAAAAATTTAAAAAAATTCCAAACAGAAATGAAAAAATCGAGAAATCGAAACAGCGATTTTCCGATTCTTGTTTCAAATTTCTCAATTTTTTATTTTTTTTATATCTCAAACTTTGATTTTGGGCTATTTCGATTCACCGATTTTTGATTTCTCGACTTCTCGACATTTCGATTTCTCGATGTTTCATTTTTTCAGTAGAATTCATAAATTGAAGAATCCCAAAACTGAGAAATCGAAAACTCTAAAAATTGAAAAAATGAAAAATCTAAAAATTTTAAAATCAAACAATTGAAAAATTGAAAAATCAAAATCCGAGAAGCCAAAAAATTGAGTAACCGGAACATCAAAAAATCTCAAATCTAAAAATTCGAAATGAAGAATTGAAAAATCGAGAAATCAAAAAATTGAAGTCACAAAATTTTTGAAAATTAAAAGCCGAGATGTGAAGTCGAAAAATTGAAATTTCAAAAATTTAAAATTTTGAAAAATTGAAAATTTAAACGATTGAAGGATCGAAAAATTGAGAAAAATGTAGAAATTGAAAAACAAAGTTGATTGATTTTTCAAGTTCTCGATTATCGAGATTTCGGTGTTTCGGTCTTTCGATTATTCAATTTCTTGAATTTTTTTATTTTAAATTTCTCAATTGTTCAATTTTTTTAATTGTCGTGAAACTTCGAATTTGGGTTAATTCGACTCCATAATTTTTCGGCTTCTCAACAGTTCGATTTCCCGACTTTTCAGTTTTTCAATTAAAGAACCCATAAACCGAGAAATCCCAAAACTGGACCATCGAAAAATTGAAAAATCAAGAAACCAAAAACTCGAAAATTAAAAAAAAAACGGAAAATCAAACATTTTAAAAACCGAAAAATCAAAATCCGAAATTTTTTGATTTCTAAAATTTTTTAATTGTCATTTTTTCGAAATTTCAGTTTTTTAATTTTTCTAAGCCTCGATTTATCGAGATTTCAGCGTTTTTCTTTTTTTTTAAATTTCGAATTAATCAATTTTTCAATTTGAAACTTTTCGATTTTTCGAATTTAGGCTATTTCGAATTTTCTACTTCTCGATCTTTTGATGTCTCAATTTGTCGACGTTTCAGTTTTTCAATTGACGAATCCATAAATTGAAAAATCCAAAAACTGAGACTTCGAAAAATTAAAAAAATCTCAATACTCAAATATCGAAAATTGTTATATCTGTCATAACTTTGATTTTTTTTCAAAATATCGACGTCTAGGCTAATAAATCCAACATAGATTCATAAACTACAAATTCAAGAGTATGTTTTTTGTATGTATGTATTAACATTGTACATATAAAATTGTAAGATAACGTCATCAATTCCTGGAGAGGGATGGCATGAACGGATCAATTTTCATTAACGATTCGCCCTGATTCTGATAACCTTAAAACGTTTGCAAGATTCCAAAGCATTCGATTTTGCAATTTCAAAGTTAAATTGGACAATGTTACATAATTTTTTTCCAAAAACCTGGATGTTCATAAACCATACATGGAGAAGTACGTTACTTTATAAAATTTAATTAATCTCTACTATTGTAAAACTTGTAGATGACGTAATTCCATTGTTGGTGGGAATAAGCAGACAAATTTTGGTTAGCGTTTTACCTTCTACATGCTATTCCTAACATACGTACAGAATTTGACAACAATCGGTCCAGTATTTCTTCGTACTGTAGAGGTCAAGAAGCGTCGAGAAAACATGAAAGCAGCTAGTCGTCCGATTGACTCGATTACGATACTTTATTAACTTATGCTTGAGAAGTAAAAAATGTCTCTTTTTTTTGACAGTTTAGAATTTGGTCGCAAATATACGTTAAAGAATTTACTATTCATTATCCTTGTGTACTGCATTCCATTCCGGGTCACTTGTTAAAGTACCTTGTGACTTTATTTAACAAGTTTAAAAAGTGACATCTAGTAGCACCCTGACACTATTTTGTCGGTCTGCGCAACAGCGCCCTCTGTGCCCTCGACTATACGTTAATGAATTTTCTTATTTAAAATATGTAGAATATCGGCTCTCTGATAACTTTGAATGCAAGTGTCATCGAATCCGGACATGTTCGCACGTGAACTGCGCTCCTTTGTGGTTGCGCCCCACCGAAAAAGCCAGATGTAGGTCGCGCATGAATTATTTATGTCTCCGTCGCACACGTTGCAAATTTATAGCCCCTCTTTGTCAACAAGCGTGAAAATTTTCTCCGTCGTCTCCATTGTGTTTTCGCTCGGCTCAAACGTCATTTCCTCCGGCGTTGCCGGCTCGTCGCGATAAAAAAAACCACACACACAAAGTAAATATTTCCATCGAGTGACAGCTGACACATTAAAATACCGTCGTCATGCCAACGACTTGTTTATCCCACGTCCTATCTCCGTCCCAACGCCAACCCGATCTCCCTCGAAAAAAGCGCTCCCTCGTGCCCGTTCGGGCGTCGTCGTCGCGCACCGTCACTTGTTTTGGTATGCGTGTTGCACGCACGACGCACGCCTGTAGCCTAGGCTGACCTAGACCAATACGCCCCTCAAAATCAAGAGCTCGCTGCTCCACGTGGCATGCGGCGCTGCGGCGTTGCCACGCCGCCCCCGCGCGCCCCGTTCTCGCGCCGCCGTCGCCGCCGCCGCGCTCGCACGCTCTCGTGGCGGCGCGGGCGGCCGGCCGGCGGCGGCGGCCCGCTCCCCGGCGAAATTCGAGCGAGGACGGGGCGGCGCCGGGGCGAGGCGCGCCGGACGTGGCAACGCCGCGCAACGTGTCTGCACGGGATCAGGCAGGCCATGGAAGCCCTCGCCGCCGCCGCCGCCGCTCCTGGACGGAGGCGCCGCGCGGGGGGGGGCGCCAGCCAATGGCAGCGACGCACATGCTCACGTCACGCGGCGGCCCGGACAATGCCCCGGCCGGCGGCGGCGCCCCGGCCGCCGCCCCCGCACTCACCTGGACGGGCACCCCTGGGGGCAGCTGCTGGCTGTCGTCGGCCTCGCACTGGTGTCGCAGGACGCACTGCACTAGAGCCACATCACGTGCGGGGCTGTATCGACCAATGGGAGTGCGCGTGATTCGACCGTTGCCTGGACGGCGGCGGCGGCGGCGGCGCGGCGGTGGCGCTCCTGGGGGCGACCGTGGGGGCTGGGGACGCGAGCTCGCCGACGTGACCGAAACTGGGGGAAGAAAGAAGTTATCTGGCGTGCCGTGGCCGGGGGTGGGGATGGAGGCCGCGTGCCCACAGCTTGTGTGGTGCGCAGAAGGTTGCGCGCTTCGGCGGCAGCGTACGTGAAAGGCGCGCGGCGTTGCCGGCTGCCGCCGCAGACGGGCCGGCCGGGGGCGGCGGCGAGCGCTGCGCGGCGCACATGTGGCAACAACGCGGATACGAGCGCCACGGCGCACGCGCACGAGCTCTCTTTCTAACGGACTGGAAAACAACAGGCGGAATTAACGACTGGAAACGCGCTACGCCCAAGATTAATTAATGACGGGGTGATGGAGAGATCGGCACCTCGACGGGGTGACTGCCTGATTACGGAAAGGGGCGGCGCGAGAGATAACCTTGACACTGATGACAGGTGCGAAGTGGCACCGCCGCAATGACTAATTCTCGATATGACCTGTTTTTCGGTCATCACGTGTTTAATTGATGCAGAAGTGACGAGCGAATTTATTTCTGATAGGAAAGTGCGCATAACCTCGATGGACGGTTACACAACGTCTGGCGAATTTGAATCGCCGATTTCGTAAAGTTGGCAGCGTGCTAGAAACGTCAAAAACGTCAACGTCAAGTGTCAACTTAGGACGCCATTTGTTTTGTTCGCGTTCGTTCACAACAATCTCCCAGGATTAACTTCAGGGTTTAGGGCGAAACTGCAACGAAAAGAAAATGTCGAGGTACGATTCTCACAGCGAAGGCCCGGGGTTCGTGGGTATAAGGTTTTGCCAGGAGTGGTGAGTGAAAAATTCGCCTCGCACAACATAACCTCAACATGTTTTTGTCGTAGCAACAACATGTTGTACCCCAAGGAGGACAAGGAAAACAAGATCCTGTTGTATGCGTGTCGCAACTGCGACTACAAACAGCACGCGGACTCCAAGTGCATCTACGTCAATAAAATTATGCACGAAATTGAGTAAGTACTTTTGGATCAGATGTGGTCAGAAATTATTAGCACGTTGATAACTGTGTTGCCATACCACAGGATTTAGAAAGTTTAGCATGACCAACTAAAATCTGAACATTCATTGGGTAACTAGCGCCATCTTGTCATGCATTTTGAATAATTTTGATATTGTTAAAAATTGATTAACAAATCAACCCAACGCGATCTTGAGATAAATTGAAATTTTTGATTATATTTTGAAAAATTTCAAGGACGAACTGACAGCTGGTGAAAATATTGTTCTATATTTTTTCCTTGTTAAGTTTTCTGGTTTAATCAGTATCTTTTTTTTCAATTACATATATTTTCTTTGACAAAATCTGAATCTATTATTTCATCATTGAAATTCATAAGATAATGGCGATAAAAAGAGACGAGAAATAGAATTTCGGAGAGGACCGTCACAAAGAATTTTGAAAAGTTTCACGTTTGCTGAGAAATCGTTGGTTACAATTGTTAATACTATAAAATCACAAGATAATTTTTTTCCTTTTTTATGAAAAAATTATATTAATGTAGTGTAGATGTATTATACTACGAACTGCAGCTTTTCTCATGTTCTAAGCCCCTAAAAATAGTACAATCAACCAAAAAAATGTGACATAAATATCGTAAAAAAAGCACCATTGCGTTCTGTTTTTTCCTCTTGTGTTAAACATAATAGAATCGCTTGAGAATCCTCACAGTGAGAAAGTAACGTATTTTGAAAGCCCCCGTCATATTAAATATTTGTCAATAGTACAATTTATTTAAATAATAATGTCTTAATTAAAATCAAAATATACCATATATTAATTCAAAATACGTCGTACGGTTTTGATTTTTTTTCTAAAAATCTTGGCATTTTATAAGATAAGACGGATTTTGGCACTTTCGATATTTTCGACCATTTTTCAACCAGAAGTCATTTTCGGCTTCGTTTCTTCAAAAATTTCTACCGTTATTTCAAAATCGCTCGGTATAAAATTTTTATAGATAAAAAGGAAATTGTTGTCACTTTTTGTTTCGCAAAATACAATTATTTCAAGAATGTACTTTGTAGTTTTCATAGATATTTTCACAGAAATGTTTAAAATTTATTTATTTGAGACAATAGAAAAGTTAGGATTGGCGCTTTGTTTTTACGTTTTTTCACATCCGAGATTCTGTTATTAGTTGCCACTCCCACTCGGCAGAAGAACATAATTAGCCCCGCCCACCCACCCTGCCCACTTTTTCCAATTAAATGAAATGAAAAATCCTATACTGAACAGAAATAAAATTAATCGTTAGAATGAGAAGAGGAGGTGGGGGTGGGCAGGGCTAGTATTTGATAAAATAGTACTGATTTGGCAGTTTTGACCTTTTCGACCATTTTTTTAACCATTTTCGAAAATTAGCGAAAGACATTTTCTTGTAGATTTCGATATTCAGAAGTCATTTTCGACTTCGTTTCTTCCAAGATTTCTATTGTTTTTCCAAAATCGCCAATTGAAACATAGCAACATAATTAGCCCCGCCCACCCACCCGTCTCTATTTTAGTGATTGATGAAATGAATGATCTTATACTGAACAGAATAAAATTAGTCGTTAGAATAAAAAGAGGGGTGGGTGGGCGGGCGGGGGTATATTTGAAATTGAAACATCGAAAAATCGACCAAACCATCGAAATTACGATTTTTCAATTTTTCGGTTCTTCAATTCTTTGATACCTTGATTTTAGAAGTTGAATTTTTCATTTTTTGTTGTTTCGATTTCCCGATTTTTCGATTTCTCGGTTTTAGATTTTTCAAATTCTTGATTTTCGAGATTTCGGTTTGGATCTTTCCATTGTTCAGTTTCTCAATTGATCGATTTTGTTTATTTTAACATTTTTTTTAATTTAAAATTTTTCAGTTTTTTAATTTGAAACTTTTCGATTTTGGGGTATTTTGATTTCTCAAGTTTCAGTTTTTCACTTGAAGAATTCACAAATTCAAGCATCCCAAAACTGAGAAATCGAAAACTCGAAAAAATCGCAAATTTAAAAACTCGAGAAATTGAAATTTTGAAAAATCGAAAACCTGTAAAATTGAGAATTCTGAAAATTGAAGATTCAAAAAAATTTTTAAAAATCAAAAATCCGAGATGCGAAGAAATCGAAACAACAAAAAAATCGTAAAATCCAAACATAAAAAAAAACAGAAATATAATTAGTCATTAGAATAAGAAGAGGGGTGGGTGGGCGGGGCTATATTTGATAAGATAAAACTGATTTTGACGACTTTGGCATTTTCGACCATTTTTTAACCATTTCCGAAAACATTTTTTTGTACATTTCGACATCCAAAAGTCGTTTTCGGCGTCGTTCCTTTGGAAATTTCTACCGTTTTTCCAAAATCGCCAATTGAAATACATATTGCAATTTTCACAGTTCCGTCAAAATCGCTCGGTATAAAATTTTTGTAATAATAAAAAGGGAAATTATTAATAATTTTTGTTTTACAAAAAACAATAGTTGTAAGAGTGTACTTTGTGGTTTTCATATATTCACAGAAATGTTTAAAATTAGTTTATTTGAGACAATAAAAAAGTCATAACAGGTCAGATCACGTTAGGTCAAGTCAGGTCGGGTGCATAAAATAAGTAATAAATTTTATAACTAATAATATAACAAAAATTAGCCCCGCCCACCCACCCTGTCTCCTTTTCAATGGCTGATTTTATCCAATTTGAATGAAAGTAGTGATCTTATAAACAGAAATAAAATTAGTCGTTAGAATGAGACGAGGGGGTGGGTGGGAGGGGCTAATATTTACGAAGATACGACTGATTTTGGCACTTTTGACATATTCGACTAAAAAAAAGTTGGGATTGGCGCTTTTTTTACTTTTTCACATTCTAGATTCTATTAGTTTCCACTCTCGATCGACAGAAGAACATAATTAGCCCCGCCCACCCACCCGGCCTCCATTTCGGTGATTAGTTTTATCCGCTCTGAATAGATGGAATGATCTTATACTGAACAGAAATAAAATTAGTCGTTAAAATGAGAGAAGAGAGGGTGGGTGGGCGGGGCTAATATTTACTAAGATAAGACAGATTTTGGCAGATGACATATCCTACAAGAAAATAGGGGGTGGGTGGGCGGGGCTAGTATTTGACAAGATAAGACTGATTTTGGGATTTTTGACATATTCGACCAAAAAAAAGTCACGATTAGCGCTTTTTTTACTGTTTTTACATCCTAGATTATATTAGTTGCCCCTCCTAATTGACAGAAGAACCAAATTAGCCCCGCCCACTCACGCTGTCTCCATTTCGGTGATTGGTTTTATCCGCTCTGAATGGATGGAATGATATTATACTGAACAGAAATAAAATTAGTCGTTAGAATGAGAAGTGGGGGTGGGTGGGTGGGGCTAATTGCTAAGATAAGACAGATTTTGGCAGATGACAATCCTACAAGATAATAGAGGGTGGGTGGGCGGGGTAGCATTTGATAAGATAAAACTGATTTTGGCAGTTTTGACATATTTTTCAACTATTTTCGAAAATTAGTTGAATACATTTTCTTGTAGATTTAGATATCCAGAAGTTTTTCCAAAATCACGAATTGAATGTAGCAATTTTTACAGTTCTGTCAAAACATCTCGGTATAAAAATTTGTAGATGAAGGAAATTTTTATTAAATTTTGTTTTACAAAATACAATTGTTTTAAGAGTGTACTTTGTGGCTTTTATAGGTATTTTCACAGAAATGTTTAAAATTTGTTTATTTGAGACAATAGAGAAGTTAGAATAGGTCAGGTCAAGTCAGGTCAGGTGTATGAAATACATTTTATAGCAAATAATTTTACAAAAAAAAGTTACGATTAGCGCCATTTTTTGACTTTTTCACATCCCAGATTCTATTAGTTTCAAGTCTCACTCGACATAAGAACATAATTAGTCGTTAGAATGAGAAGAGGGTGGGTGGGCGGGGCTAGTATTTGACAAAATAAGACTGATTTTGGGATTTTTTACATATTCGTTCACAAAACAATGTCACTATTAGCGCTTTTTTTACTGTTTTTACATCCTAGATTCTATTATTTGCCCCTCCTACTTGACAGAAGAACAAAATTAGCCCCGCCCACCCACCCTGTCTCCATTTCGGTGATTGGTTTTATCCGCTCTGTATGGATGGAATGATATTATACTGAACAGAAATAAAATTAGTCGTAAAATGAGAAGTTGGGGTGGTTGGGTGGGGCTAATATTTGGCAAGATAAGACAGATTTTGGCAGATGACAATCCTACAAGAAAATAGAGGGTGGGTGGGCGGGGCTAGTATTTGACAAGATAAGACTGATTTTGGGATTTTTGACATATTCGACTAAAAAAAAAGTCACGATTAGCGTTTTTTTTACTGTTTTTACATCCTAGATTTTATTATTTGTCCCTCCTACTTGACAGACGAACAAAATTAGCCCCGCCTACCCACCCTGTCTCCATTTCGGTGATTGCTTTTATCCGCCCTGAATAGATGGAATGATCTTATACTAAACAGAAATACAATTAGTCGTTAGAACGAGAAAAGGGGGTGGGCGGGCGGGGCTAATAATTGCTAAAATAGACTGATTTTGGCACTTTTGACACATTCGACCAAAAAAAGTTAGGATCAATGTTTTTTTTTACTTTTTCCACATCCTAGATTCTATTAGTATCCACTCCCACTCGACAGAAGAACATAATTAGCCCCGCCCACCCACCCGGCCTCTATTTCGGTGATTGGTTTTATGCGCTCTCAATGGAATGATCTTATACTGAACAGAAATAAAATTAGTCGTTAGAATGAGAAGAGGGGGTGGGTGGGTGGTTGGGGCTAATATTTGCCAAGATAAGACAGATTGTGGTAGATGACATATGCTGCAAGAAAATAGAGGGCGGGTGGGCGGGGCTAGCATTTGATAAGATAAGACTGATTTTGGCAGTTTTGACATATTTTTTAACTATTTTCGAAAATTAGTTGAATACATTTTCTTGTATATTTCAATATCCAGAAGTTTTTCCAAAATCACCAATTGAAATGTAGCAATTTTTACAGTTCTGTCAAAATATCTCGGTATAAAAATTTTGTAGACGAAGGAAATTTTTATTAATTTTTGTTTTACAAAATACAATTGTTTTAAGAGTGTATTTTGTGGCTTTATTTTGTGGTATTTTCACAAAAATGTTTAAAATTTGTTTATTTGAGACAATAGAGAAGTTAGAATAGGTCAGGTCAGGTGTATGAAGTAAATTTTATAGCAAATAATTTAACAAAAAAAGTTACGATTAGCGCTATTTTTTGACTTTTTCACATCCCAGAATCTATTAGTTTCAACTCTCACTCGACAGAAGAACATAACTAGTCGTTAGAATGAAAAGAGGGTGGGTGGGCGGGGCTAGTATTTGATAAGATAAGACTGATTTTTGGATTTTCAACATATTTGTTCACAAAAAAGTCACGATTAGCGCTTTTTTTTACTTTTTTCCACATCCTGGATTCTATTAATTGCCACTCCCACTTGACAAAAGAACATAATTAGCCCCACCCACCCACCCTTCCTCTATTTCGGTGATTGGTTTTATCCGCTCTGAATGGATGGAATTATCTTATATTGAACAGAAATCAAATTAGCCGTTATAATGAGGACAGGGGGTGGGTGAGTAAGGCTAATATTTTCTAAGATAAGACAAATTTTAGCAGATGACATATCTTATAAGAAAATAGAGGGTGGGTGGGCGGGGCTAGTATTTGACAAGATAAGACTGATTTTTGGATTTTTGACATATTCGTTCACAAAAAATGTCACGATTAGCGTTTTTTTTACTTTATTCAGATCCTAGATTCTATTAGTTGTCCCTCCTACTTGACAGAAGAACAAAATTAGCCCCGCCCACCCACCCTGTCTCCATTTCGGTGATTGGTTTTATCCGCTCTGAATGGATGGAATGATCTTATACTGAACAGAAATAAAATTAGTCGTTAGAATGAGAGTGGGGGTGGGTGGGTGGGGCTAATATTTGCCAAGATAAAATCGATTTTGGCAGATGACATATCCTACAAGAAAATAGAGGGTGGGTGGGCGGGGCTAGCATTTGATAAGATAAGACTGATTTTGGCAGTTTTGACATATTTTTCAACTATTTTGGAAAATCAGTTAAATACATTTTCTTGTATATTTCAATATCCAGAAGTCTTTCCAAAGTCACCAATTGAAATGTAGCAATTTTTACAGGTCTGGCAAAATATCTCGGTATAAAAATTTGTAGATGAAGGAAATTTTTATTAATTTTTGTTTTACAAAATACAATTGTTTTAAGAGTGTATTTTGTGGTATTTTCACAAAAATGTTTAAAATTTGTTTATTTGAGACAATAGAGAAGTTAGAATACGTCAGGTCAAGTGTATGAAATAAATTTTATACCAAATAATTTAACAAAAAAAGTTACGATTAGCGCTATTTTTTGACTTTTTCACATCCCAGATTCAATTAGTTTCAACTCTCACTCGACAGATGAAAATAATTAGTCGTTAGAATGAGAAGAGGGTGGGTGGGGGGGGTTAGTTCTTGCTAGAATAAGACTGATTTTGGCAGATCACAATCCTTCCAAGAAAATAGAGGGTGGGTGGGCGGGCCTCTATTTTTTTTTTACATAATTCGGTACACAGCAGATATGTCTAATTTAATATTTAGAAATGCAAATAAAGCCTACCTATTTGAACATAATTTACGTAATGTGTACTTACAGTGAACTGACCCACATCGTCGCTGACGTCATCTCAGATCCTACTCTTCCCCGTACGGAAGACCATCATTGCCCTGAGTGCAACCACAGGTAAATTCGTGCTCCGTTGTAACCTTTTCTATTATTTTTTTAATTTTCAGAGAGGCGGTCTTCTTCCAAGCCCAGACCCGTCGCGCTGAGGAAGAAATGAGGTTATATTACGTGTGCACAAACCCAATGTGCGCCCATCGCTGGACTGAGTAATCTCAAGAATAAACTAACTCTAGGTTTGATAATTTTATTAACCTAGTTGTTTTAAAACACATTATGGGCAGTCTTCAAGTGCTGTTTAATGTATGACTTATCAATAAAACACTTATCACAAGCGGGACACCCGAATGGTCTTTCTCCAGTGTGTGACCTAATGTGCTTTTGTAACTTATTGTTCGCAAAGTAGCTCTTAGGACAAATGCTACAAAAGTACTTTTTCACTCTTTCTGGAACCTTGGCCTCCCCGATCCCGTGCACTTTCACCATGTGAATGTCCAAGCTTTTCTGGTACTTGTAGCCTTGGAGGCACAAATTGCACTTGAAAGTTTTTGCGATTGAGTGGCTCTCGATGTGTCTTTTTAACACCGACTTATTAATACATTTCCTATCACATAAATGGCACAAGAAGTTCCTCTCGCCCGTGTGGGTCTTAGTATGAGTGTCCAGGTTCGTCTTCAGCGGAAACCTCCTCTGACAAAAACTACACTCATACTTCCACTGAGACCGGTCCTGGTGAACACAAATCTTATGTTTATGTAAATCTGAAGACGTATTGAACGCTTTTGAGCAAATTTGGCACTTATAGGCGCGCTTATTAGCGTGTATTTTCTCGTGGTGGTACAAATCACTCGCCGTGATGTACCCCTTTCCGCAGAACGAACAAATGTGCTTCCTCTCCCCGGAATGGTAGCGCTTGTGGGCGTTCAAATACACGTGCGACGCGAACTTGCGCTCGCACAACTCGCACTGAAACTTCTTCTCCGTGCAGTGCACGTTCTTCATGTGGCGCTTCAACAAATACTTGTTACTGAACGAAGCCCCACAGACGTCACAAATGTTATAGGGCTTGCTCTCCTGCACTTTAGCTTGTCGTTTCCCGCAAATCACCTTGTGTCTTTTGAGGGCGCTCTCCGACGATAGCGCTTTCCCACACTGGTCGCACGTGGGGCTCACTTTGTGCTTTTTCTTCGTGTGTTCGTTCTGAATGTGCGCTTCAAGGACACTTTTTGACTTGAATTTGGCCTCGCAGTGGTAGCAGACGTAGTGCTGATCGGGCGCCCCCGACTTGTCGTCGTCGCTGTCGCTGCGGCAGCACGGGTCTGAGTAGTCCCAAGGGTCAGGGTTGGGGGGCTTGGAGTCTTCGTGTTTGCGGGCCAAGTACGACTGAATGCACATATCGCGGAAAGCACACACGGTGTCCAGTTGCTGCAGGCACGGGAAGCAAATCTGCGAATCGATTTTCCACTCCTACAAAAAAAGTCAACATAACCTCACATTTTCGGGGCGACAATTTACCACTTCGGGGACGCATCGCTGCAGTTTTATGATAATACGGACGTCGGTTTCGTCGAGCTCGCTCAGGATTTTGGTGTTTTCGTCAAGGTTTAGGCAAATTATGCACAGATTTGACATGGTGTTTGTAAACAATGATGAGAAGAGTGACAGCAAGGGGTGCCAACCGACTTTTTTAAATCACGCTATTTTCAAAATTTGAGCATTTATTTACACAATTCGACTGTTTGATTGTTTAATAGTCGTTGTTTTACGAATTTCCGGCTAAATTGGGTGATATTTGTCGTGTTTTGGGTTGACTTTTCACTGCTCGGAGTGTACACACTTGTGCAGCAACAATGTCATTTGTATAGTAGCGTGCACATATAATGCTTATTAAAAAAACACAAACTTATGACCATTTTATTCATAATAATACAGGGTAAGGTTTAAATACTGCCGAGAGTCGGCACAACTAAATCTAGCGCAGAGTAAAAACCGATTGCTTTCGCTTATCACAATTCCAACAAACTAAAACCTAACAAAATTGGTCTAAATTCACTAAAATTTCTGTTATCGACTCAAATTGGTAACGTAAATGTGCTTAAGTTCTGTCTTGGGTGTGTTCTCGAACAACGCGGCCCGATTCTGCCCTTCGCCCTTCTTCACCCAGTGCCCGTACACCCGGAACGCGCAGCCATCCACCACCTGGAAAGCCACGTTAGCCACAATCAAACAACAACATAACCTCACTTTTCGCAGCAACTTGATCCTGTACGGGTCGGTGCGCGCCGTTTCCAGACTCAGCGGCTCCGGCGTGAACTTGATCCGCTGCAGCCGCACCATCGCCCTCACCACCAAAATCGCCCACTGGAATTTTTGCCTCGCTTGGAATTTGCGTTGCTGGAGTTTCTGAAAACGCGCACAAGTCAAAAGCATGCTTCACACGATACGAAACGACACGACACTGTAGTTAGTCAGACACACACATTATTAGTGGTGGCAGGCAACACGTGCTTTACCAAAGCCAACTCTGAAATTCTACTGAATCTGCGACTGGTCTTGCGCAATGAGTGTTTGAGGGGAGCGATGTCTTGGTCCCACAATTGCTGGAAAAGAATTTACACAAAAGCACGAGTGATGTAGTGGGGGTGGGGGTGGTGGTGGGGTGCTTACCATTGTGTGGAAGAAGGGGTGGGCGAGGGCGTCTTCGAGGGTGATGCGCTGCTTGGGGTCCACTACGAGTAACCTCCGGATTAAGTCTTTAGGGGGCTCTGAAACTTACGTTGTCGAAAATTTAAACAAGATGGCGACAGACCTAACCTGAAATGTCTGCCCATTCCGGTGACGTGAACGAGTACTTTCCCTCCATGATGTTTCGCAACATAATCATTTGTTTGCGGTGCCAAAATGGCGGACAACCGACTAACCTATAAGACTTATCGTAATTAAAAATGGCGCCTTTTTTTAAATACTTATACTTACAGTGTATACATGATGACCCCGCATGCCCACACGTCTACTTCGAACGAACATCCAGGCGCATCCTCCACCATGTTACACTTCAACGTCTCCGGCGCCAGATACCCGGGAGTCCCACACAACTCGTGCACCATTTCCCCCTCCGCTAGTTTCTTCGCGAACCCGAAGTCGGTTATCTTCACGTTCAAATTATCATCCAGGAGTATATTTTCAGGCTTCAAGTCCCTATGCACGATCCCTCGGGAATGTATATGGAACACCCCCTCCAAAATCTGGCGCATGATGTACCTGGTTTTCTTCTCAGACAGCGTCACCACCGACGTCAAATAATCGAAAAGTTCACCGTGTCGACACAACTCGAAAACCAGGAAGATAAAAGTGGGAGATTCGAAAACATCCTGTAATTCAACTGTGGCCAATAGTGAGGTGACTTTTGAAAAAAGCGCCAAATTTGAATAACCTACTGATGTACTGGTGGCCGGCTACGTGTCTTAATATCGCGATTTCTTGTTTGGTTGCTTCTTTGGCTGTGATTCCGTCGCTGCTGTCGTTGCTCAAATCGATAATCTTGGCGGCGAATTCTTTGCCGGTCTCTTTTTCGATGCAGCGGCGGACCGTGGAGCTGATCCCTCTGGAAATTGAGTCACGTGATTGAAAATGGCGTGACAAATGACAAACAAAAGAAAACGAAGAGAGAAAATCATAGAATAGGCACTGCGACTAAATGAGTAAGACGTTTCAAGTGGTTACCTGTCTGTCACATCGCACAGCATAACCAATACAGAACCAATGCGAAAAACTTGTTTTTATGGCCATCTGCAAAATAATTCCGTTTTTTATCAATAAATAAAATATGGAAGAAAGTACTATTTGTTAACTACGAAAGATGACTTTTTACAAATTTTCGGGTTATTAAAGAAAAAAGTTCGAAACGTTTATTTCCTAAACAAACACCAGTAATTAACAACATGAAAATAAATTAAAGTTGGCGAGAGGTCAGAAATGATATTGGAAGGTTATTAAGCAAACGGGACTTCCTAGTGATATTTTTGACGCTGTAATCACCAAGTGATATAAAAGAGTTAAAAATATCCTGTGATGGCAAGCGGTTTTCGTTGAAATTTAACTAGAATAAAAGCGCACTACTAAAGGGTTTTTGAGTTCTATAAGAATAAATCTCTTAATTTAAAAAAAAAACACAATTTAGAAACGGAGCGCAGCGAGCACGTTCGAGTCTTTCCAACTTTAGTAATCACAATTGTTGTTAAGGTTCATTTTTTGTTAATAATTTAGCTTCTCGGGGACAACAATCAATTATTTTTAATAACACCTGAACGTGCTCGCTGCGCTCGCATTCTAACCGTTCTATTTTTTTTTGCAGTTTAGTCTCATTGAAGTGAATTTCCGAGTGATTCCAAAGTTTTCAAAAATTCTAGAAATTTCAAAGATTCTACAGTTTCTACAGAGATTCCAAAGAGTTTTAAAATTGTAAAGATGGTAAAATTTCTAAAATCCAAAGTCATAAAAATTCTAAAAATGTTGAAGGACTTTGAGATGTTCGGAATTTAAAAGTGTTAAAGATTCTAATTAATCTGGATATTGTAAAGATCTTGAAAGTTTCCACGGTTTCCGAAGAGTTTTAAAATTGTAAAGAAATTAGAATTATTCTAGAAATTTCAAAATTTTCAAAGATTCTAGAAATTGTAAAAAAGACTCAGACGTTCTAAAGAGTTTAAAATTTTAATCATGTTAAAATTCCCAAAGATTCGAAAGTCTTGAAAATTGAATTTTAGAGATTTTAAAATTTTCAAAAATTCTAAAAATTTTACTATGTACTAGAGACTCTGACGTTTCAAAGGTTCTAAAAGTTCTACAGATATTCCAAAAAGTTTAAAAATTCTAATGATCTAGGCTTACAAATTCTAGAAATTCTACAGTTTCTAACGGTTAGAAAGATTCAAAAAATTCTTAAGATTCGAGAAGTTTCAAAGCCTTCAACGATTCCGAAGATTCTAATGACTCCAGATATTCTAAACACCTCAAAAATGAAAGATTAGGGAGCTTCCAAATTGTAAAGATATTAAAGATTCTACATGAACTAAAAATTCCAAGAGTCTAAATTTAATAAAGATAAAAAAAAATCGTAAATATTTGAGTGATTCTAAAATTTAAACATTCTAGATTTTCTACAGACTCCAGAGGTTCCAGAAATTCCGAAGATTCTTAAGACTCTAAGGACTCAAAAAACACTCCAAAGACCTCAAAATCCTCAAAGACCCCAGTTTTTAAAGACTCCAAAGACTCAAACGTTCAAAAGATTTTAAAAATTCTAAAGTTTTCAAATATTCCAAGGATTCTAAGATCTCAAATAATGCAAAGACTCTAATGATAGTAAAGAAACCAAAAATCACCAAAATGTTAGATTCTAAAATTTTCAAAAATTCTAGAAATTGCAAAAAATTTAAGTTCTCTAGATTCTAAAGAGATTCCATAGTTTAATTTTTTTAAGATGTCAAAATTCCCAAAGATCCGAAAACTCTTAAAAATTCTAGAAATCTAGATCCAAAAATTCCAGAAAGGTTGAAGGACTTAAGGGTGCTGGGAATTTAGAAGTTTTAAAGATTCTAGAAATTCTATTATTTCTAATGATTACAAAGATTCAAAAAATTCTAAAGATTCAAGAGGTTTCAAAGTCTTCAACGATTGCGACGACTTTAATGACTCTAGAGACCTTAAAAATTACTAAAGATCCTAAAGATTCTACATGCACTAAAAATTCTAAGATTCTAAATATAAGAAAGCTCCAAAAAATTCTAAAATGTACAAAATTTCCAAAAATTCTAAAAGCTCTAACAACTCTGAGCCCTTTAAAGATTCTAGATTTTCCATAGATTCCAGACGTACCAGAAATTCCGAAGCTTCTACAGATTTTTAAGACTCTTAAGGCCTCAAAATTTCCGAAGATTCTAGAATGTTAAAGCATCTAGAAATGCTAGTAAATTAAAAGTTCTAAAGATTTTAGAAATTCTATGGTTTCTAGAGATTACGGAAATTTGAAAAATTCCAAAGATAAAAAAAAGATCAAATTCTAATAAGATCTTAAAAATTCTGTAAATTAGAAAGATGAGGGAGATTATGAATGAACAAACAATTCTAAGATTTTGAAGTTAAGAAAGATTACAAAAAAAACTTAAACATTCTGTAGCTACTAAAGATCTCAGCAATTGAAGAGTTTCTAAAGATCCTAGAGATTGTAAACATTCTAGAAGTTGTACTGATTCTAAAATCCCTAAAATTTCCAAAAATTCTAAAAGCTCTAAAAACTGAAGATTCTAGATTTTTCGTAGATTGCAGAAATTCCACAGATTCTACAGATTCTTAAGACTTTAAACAGTCAAAATTTCCAAAGATTCTAGAAAGTTAAAGTATCTAGAAATGCTACTAATTTAAAAGTTCTGAAGATTTTAGAAATTCTACGGTTTCTAGATATCACAGATTTGAAAAATTCTATAAATTAGAAAGATTAGGGAGATTCTAAATTATTAATGAACAAACGATTCTAAGATTTTGAAGAAAAAATCTTAAAGATCTTGTAGCTACTAAAGATTCCAGGAATTCTAGACCTCCTAAAGATCTTGGATATTCTAAACATTCTAGAACTTCTACTGATTCTAAAATCTCTAAAATTTCCACAGATTCTAAAAGCTCTAAAGATTCTAGATTTTCCATAGATTCCAGAAATTCCAAAGATTATAGAGAGCTAAAGTATCTGTAAATGCTAGTAATTTAGAAGTTCTGAAGGTTTTTAAAATTCTATGGTTTCTAAAGATTACGGAAATTTGAAAAATTCAAAAAATTAAAAAAGTTTCAAATTCTAAGATTTTGAAGAAAAATTAAAAAAATCTTAAAGATTTTGTAGCTACTAAAGATCCCAGGAATTCTAGACCTCCTAAAGATCTTGGAGATTCTAAACATTCTAGAACTTCTACTGATTCTTAAATCTCTAAAATTTCCACAGATTCTAAAAGCTCTAAAGATTCTAGATCTTCCATAGATTCCAGAAATTCCAAAGATTCTACAGATTCTTAAGACACTATGAATTCTAAGGACTGTAAATTTCCAAATATTCTAGAGAGCTAAAATATCTGTAAATGCTAGTAATTTAGAAGTTCTGAAGGTTTTAAAAATTCTATGGTTTCTAAAGATTACGGAAATTTGAAAAATTCTAAAAATTAAAAAAGCTTCAAATTCTAAGATTTTGAAGAAAGATTAAAAAAATCTTAAAGATCTTGTAGCTACTAAAGATTCCAGGAATTCAAGAGTTCCTAAAGATCCCAGAGATTCTAAACATTCTAGAACTTCTATTGATTCTAAAATCTCTAAAATTCCCAAAAATTCTAAAAGCTCTAAAGATTCTAGATCTTCCATAGATTCCAGAAATTCTAAAGATTCTACAGATTCTTAAGACACTGGATTCTAAGGACTCTAAATTTCCAAAGATTCTAGAGAGCTAAAATATCTGTAAATGCTAGTAATTTAGAAGTTCTGAAGATTTTAAAAATTCTATGGTTTCTAAAGATTACGGAATTTGAAAAATTCCAAAAATTAAAAAAGCTTCAAATTCTAAGATTTTGAAGAAAGATTAAAAAAATCTTAAAGATCTTGTAGCTACTAAAGATTCCAGGAATTCAAGAGTTCCTAAAGATCCCAGAGATTCTAAACATTCTAGAACTTCTATTGATTCTAAAATCTCTAAAATTTCCAAAAATTCTAAAAGCTCTAAAAACTGAAGATTCTAAATTTTTCGTAGATTGCAGAAATTCCACAGATTCTACAGATTCTTAAGACTCTAAACACTCAAAATTTCCAAAGATTCTAGAGAGTTAAAGTATCTAGAAATGCTAGTAATTTAAAAGTTCTGAAGATTTTAGAAATTCTACGGTTTCTAGATATTACAGATTTGAAAAATTCTATAAATTAGAAAGATTACGGAGATTCTAAATTATTAATGAACAAACAATTCTAAGATTTTGACGAAAGATTTAACAAAATCTTAAAGATCTTGTAGCTACTAAAGATTCCAGGAATTCTAGAACTCCTAAAGATCTTGGAGATTCTAAACATTGTAGTACTTCTACTGATTCTAAAATCTCTAAAATTTCCACAGATTCTTGAAGCTCAAAGAATTCTAGATGTTCCATAGATTCCAGAAATTCCAAAGATTCTACAGATGCTTAAGACACTAAGGATTCTAAGGACTCTAAATTTCCAAAGATTCTAGAGAGCTAAAGTATCTATAAATGCTAGTAATTTAGAAGTTCTGAAGGTTTTAAAAATTCTATGGTTTCTAAATATTACGGAAATTTGAAAAATTCTAAAAATTAAAAAAGTTTCAAATTCTAAGATTTTGAAGAAAAATTAAAAAAATCTTAAAGATCTTGTAGCTATTAAAGATCCCAGCAATTCAAGAGTTCCTAAAGATCCTAGAGAGTCTAAACATTCTAGAACTTCTATTGGTTCTAAAATCTCTAAAATTTCCAAAGATTCTAAAAGCTCTAAAGACTGAAGATTCTAGATTTTCCATAGATTCCAGAAATTCCAAAGATTCTACGGATTCTTAAAACTCTAAGGACTCAAAATTTCCAAAGATTCTAGAGAGCCAAAGTATCTATAAATGCTAGTAATTTAGAAGTTCTGAAGGTTTAAAAAATTCTATGGTTTCTAAAGAATACGGAAATTTGAAAAATTCTAAAGATTAAAAAAGTTTCAAATTCTAAGATTTTGAAGAAAGATTAAAAAAATCTTAAAGATCTTGGAGCTACTAAAGATCCCAGCAATACAAGAGTTCCTAAAGATCCTAGAGATTCTAAACATTCTAGAACTTCTACTGGTTCTAAAATCTCTAAAAATTCCAAAGATTCTAAAAGCTCTGAAGATTGACGATTCAAAGGACTCTAATAACGCTGACTCTTCTAGAGATTCTAGATTTTCCATAGAATCCAGAAATTCCAAAGATTCTACAGATTTTAAAACTCTAAGGACTCCAAGGACTCAAAATTGTCAAAGATTTTAGAAATTCTATGGTTTTCTAGCGATTACATACATTTAAAAAATTATAAAGATTTAAAAATTGTGTCAAATTCTTAGATCTTAAAAATTCTATAAATTAGAAAGATTAGGCAGATTCCAAATTATTAATGAACAAACGATTCTAAGATTTTGAACTTAAGAAAAATAAAAAAAAGTCTTTAAGATCCTGTAGCTACTAAAGATCCCAGGAATTCAAGAGTTCCTAAAGATTCTAGGGATTCTAAACATTCTAGAACTTCTACTGATTCTAAAATCTCTAAAAATTCCAAAGATTCTAAAAGCTCTACAAATTGACGATTCAAAGGACTCTAATAACTCTGAGTCTACAGATTTTAGAACTCTAAGGACTCTAAGGACTCAAAATTGTCAAAGATTTTAGAAATTCTATAGTTTTCTAGCGATTACGTAGATTTGAAACATTCTAAAGATTAAAAAAGTTTCAAATTTTAAGATTTTAAAAATTCTATAATTAGAAAGATTAGGGAGATTCTAAATTATGAATGAACAAACGATCCTAAGATTTTGAACTTAAGAAAAATTAAAAAAAAAAGTCTTTAAGATCCTGTAGCTACTAAAGATCCCAGGAATTCAAGAGTTCCTAAAGGTTCTAGGGATTCTAAACATTCTAGAACTTCTACTGATTCTGAAATCTCTAAAATTTCCAAAGATTCTAAAAGCTCTAAAAATTGACGATTCAAAGGACTCTAATAACTCTGAGACTTCCAGAGATTCCAGATTTTCCATATAATCCAGAAATTCCAAAGATTCTACAGATTTTAAAACTCTAAGGACTCGAAATTGTCAAAGATTTTAGAAATTCTATGGTTTTCTAGCGATTACGTATATTTGAAAAATTCCAAAGATTAAAATAGTTCCAAATTCTAAAATCTTAAAAATTCTATAAATTAGAAAGATTAGGGAGATTCCAAATCATGAATGAACAAACGATTCTAAGATTTTGAAGTTAAGAAATATAAAAAAAAATCTTTAAAATCCTGTAGCTACTAAAGATCCCAGGAATTCAAGAGTTCCTAAAGGTTCTAGGGATTCTAAACATTCTAGAACTTCTACTGATTCTGAAATCTCTAAAATTTCCAAAGATTCTAAAAGCTCTAAAAATTGACGATTCAAAGGACTCTAATAACTCTGAGACTTCCAGAGATTCCAGATTTTCCATATAATCCAGAAATTCCAAAGATTCTACAGATTTTAAATCTCCAAAGACTCGAAATTGTCAAAGATTTTAGAATTTCAATAGTTTTCTAGCGATTACGTATATTTGAAAAATTCTAAAGATTAAAATAGTTCCAAATTCTAAAATCTTAAAAATTCTATAAATTAGAAAGATAAGGGAGATTCCAAATAATGAATGAACGAACGATTCTAAGATTTTGAAGGAAGATTAAAAAAAAATCTTAAAAATCCAATAGCTACTAAAGAGCCCAGAAATTTAAAAGTTCCTAAAGATCCTAGAGATGCTAAACATTCTAGAACTTTTACTGATTCTAAAATCTCTAAAATTTCCAAACATTCTAAAAGCTCTAAAAATTGACAATTCAAAGCAATAACTCTGAGACTTCTAGAGATTCTAGATTTTCCATAGAATCCAAAAATTCCAAAGATTCTACATTTTTTAAATCTGCAAGGACTCGAAATTGTCAAAGATTTTAGAAATTCTATAGTTTTCTAGCGATTACGTATATTTGAAAAATTCTAAAGATTAAAAAGTTTCAAATTCTAAAATCTTAAAAATTCTATAAATTAGAAAGATTAGGGAGATTCCAAATCATGAATGAACAAACGATTCTAAGATTTTGAAGTTAAGAAAAATTAGAAAAAACCTTAAAGATCCTGTAACTAGTAAAAATCCCAGAAATTCAAGAGTTCCTAAAGATTCTTGAGATTCTAAACATTCTAGAACTTCTACTGATTCTAAAATCTCTAAAATTTCAAAAGATTCTAAAAGCTCTAAAAATTAACGATTCAAAGGACTCTAAGATTTCTAGAGATTCTAGATTTTTCATAGAATCCTGAAATTCCAAAGATTCTACAGATTTTAAAACTCTAAGGACTCGAAATTGCCAAAGATTTTAGAAATTGTATGGTTTTCTAGCGATTACGTAGATTTGAAAAATTCTAAAGATTAAAAAAGTTTCAAATTCTAAGATCTTAAAAATTCTATAAATTAGAAAGATTAGGGAGATTCCAAATCATGAATGAACAAACGATTCTAAGATTTTGAAGTTAAGAAAGATTTAAAAAAAAGTCTTTAAGATCCTGTAGGTACCAAAGATCCCAGGAATTCAAGAGTTCCTAAAGATTCTAAAGATTTTAAACATTCTAGAACTTCTACTGATTCTAAAATCTCTAAAATTTCCAAAGATTCTAAAAGCTCTACAGATTGACGATTCAAAGAACTCTAACAACTCTGAGACTTCTAGAGATTCTAGATTTTCCATAGAATCCAGAAACTCCAAAGATTCTGCAGATTTTAAAACTCTAAGGACTCTAAGGACCCAAAACTGTCAAAGATTTTACAAAATCTTAAAGATCTCCAAAGATCCCAAAATTCCCAAAGTGCCTCAAAATTCCAAAAACTAAAAACTCAAACGTTGCAAAGATTTTAAAAATTCTCAATTTCGATTATTCTAAGGATTCTAAAACTTCTAGATAAATCCCAAATAATCCAAAGATTCTAAAAATTATAAAAATTGCATGAACTCTTAAAGTTCAAAGATTTTAAAGATTCCAAAGACTAATGATTGTAAAGAAACCAAAAATCACTAAAATATTAAAGATTCTAAAAATGTTTCCTTCCTACGGTTTTTATTGTTTCAAACCTTCCAAATATTTCAAAGATTAGAGATTCCAAAGGTTTTAGAAATCCAAATATCTTAAAAATTTTAAAGATCTTAATAATTAAGACGATTTGAAAGAATATTTTGATTAATTTTTATTAAGATCTCTCTGGTGTCTTTAAGATGACGTCATCAATTTTTTGACCAAGATGAATAAATAAAATAAAAAAAAACACATTATTCATGGAATTTCTACGCCAGTAATAAAATGCAACAATGCAATAAAAATCCGACAACACAAACAACATCGGAATCCGGATATATTTCGTCCGGTAAACACTCGTCCCACGATTTTACGCGATGACGTCACCCACCTCCCGGAGGCCATAAACCAATCATTTTTACTGCACGTTCCGTAATCATTCCCGTTATTTACTCCACAAGTATTGACACCAATTTAGCCCCGAATTCCTCAATATTCACAATCATCTGATCAGCCGCTGCCTTTTATCTCTTAAATTGAATAACAAACACTCAGCGTCACAACTATTACCCAACTATCAACACCAATATCTCTGACGATTAAAACTTGTTTGTTTGGAGACTCAAACAAACGAAGAATAAGTGCCTCTTACGCGTTTTCACAAAAGTAAGCACTCGTTATCAAGTCGGACTTGAAGATAAGCGAAAATTAGCCACAGGGTGCAATGAATAAAGATGATTCACGAAAATCATTAAAAATAGAACGAACAATTACAAAAGAGCCTGAGGCCGACAGCCAAATCCGGAACCCAGCCAAGTCAATCCCATCCATGGCACGCTCCACAGCCACATTTATACGAATCTTATAATTCATCACGTCTCAAGGCTGAATGAATGAGTTACAACGATGTAATTTATAATTTATACGAGCGTTTAAAAAACATTAACTTTAGACTGACCTTCCCAGGATCTCTTTGGGCTCGTATTTGGCGTAGAACTCCTTGGCGGCGTCTTGGTCCGGCAACTTGTCTTCGTCTTCTTCTTTGGCCATTGTTTTAAGAAGACCAACTAAAAATAACACGGGTAACAATGAGCCATGACCATACCCTTCACAAAGGTTAAATTTGAAATGGCGCAGGCTTGAACCAAGCGGGCCAAGGTAATGGGTTATTTTGATTGTTACAACAATCGGGTGGTATTTGGCGAGAAATACGTACTTTTTGCTGTGTTTACTACACGTTTTAACCTTCACGGGAGCCCACTCAAATCAAACGTCAAGCGGGGTTGGCAGCACTGCGGAGACACGAAAAGTGAAAGTTACTAGGCGGGTTTGATTTCAAACAAATTAGATTAGAGACGAAAATAGACGAGATTACCGCTATTACCGGATTTTGTAAAGTGTTTGTTGTTTATTTTTAGTTTGCGAAAAAAATTCGCAACTCAGTCGTAATAAATTTTTAGCATACAGCGTGTTCCTTGCGCTAGACTGGATGTGTCTAGATACAGAGCTTCACAAAGTAATGCCCCAAAAATGCTAAAAACTTTTTGATGCAGGGTTGCCACATGTTTTTTAGGGTAAAATAATGTTCTTAGTTTGTCGTCTTTTATTTGTTTTTCTATCGTTCTTCTTTTTGAATTTTGTATTCTACTTTTTAGTCTTTTTTTGCCTCTTTTAATCGCCCCTTTTTGTTGAAGCTTTTTTTTGTTTCTTTTTAGTCGCTTTATATTTGTTACTTCTTTTGTTGCGTTTATGTTTCGCTTTTTTTTGTTGCGTTTTTTGCATTTATTTCCGTTACATATTTTGTGGACTTTCTTACTACATTTTTTTTGTCACATTTTTTTGTGGCCAAACTTTTTGTAAACTTCATTTGTTTTTTCCTGTTTCTTGGCTCATTCTATGTTGTGTTTTTTTTGTCGCATTTTCTGATACATTTTCTTTCGTATTTTTGTGTTTTTTTTGTGTCCGAGTTTCGTGTCGTTTTTATTTGGTGTTTTCTCATTTTTGTGGCTCTCTTTTTATTATTTTTGGTTGTCACTTTTATCAATTTTAATTGTCTTTTTGGGGCTTTTTGTGTGTTTTATCATCATTTTATCATTTTTTATCCGTTATTTACCATTTTTGTCACTTTTTGGTCGCATTTTTTGTTACTACTTGTGGTCTTTTTTTGTAAATTTTTTGTTTTTTTTTTGTGTCTTTTTTGTCGCTTTTTACTTGTCGTCTATTTTTCTATGGCGTCTTCGTGTCGTTTTTATCGGCTTTTCTGACCTTTTCTTTCATATTTTTGGGACTTCGTGGTGTTCCCTTTATTTTTTACCATTTTTTTGTGTCATTTTTGTCAATTTTATTTGTCTTATTGAAGGCTTCTTGTATGTTTTTTCATCATTTTATCACATTTTGTCCCTTATTGGTCATTTTTTTGACTTTTTGGTCGCATTTTTGTTTCTACTTATGGTCGTTTTTGACACATTTTTTCATTTTTATTTATTTCTTTTTTGCCTCCTTTTATTTGTTACTATATTTTTTGCCATTTTTCTAGTGTCTCTTTTTGTCTCAATTTCAGTGTGGTCCCTTTTTCTCTAGTTTTCAATTTTTTAATTTCTCGATTTTTCGATTTTCGATCTTTGTTTTTACAATTTTTCTTTTTATTTTTACAATTTCAGATAATTCATTTTTGATTTTGTCTATGTTTCGATGTTTAGTTCCTCAGTTTTCGGTTTTTGATTTTTCAAAGTTTTGTAATTCAACCATATGATTATGCAATTTTTCGTTTTATTAATTTTACAATTTTTCGATTTTTTAATTTTTGATTTTATCAATTTTTCGATTCTCCAATTTTTCGATCTGCAGTTTTTCTAGTTTTCAATTCTTCGGATTTTTTTCTTATATCATTGTTCGATTTTCTAAAATTTAGATCCTTATTTTGCAATTTTTAGATATTTTAATTTTTGATTTTCTCCGTTTTTAGTCCCCCAATTTCAAAGTTTTCGACTTTTCGGATCTTTTAGTTACTCCACTTTTTGATTTTTCACATTTTCTGATAATTCCAATTTTGGATTTTTTATTTTTACAATTTTTATTTATTGTACGTTTTGATTTTTTTAATGTTTCGATTTTTAATTCCTCAATTTTTGAATTTACCGAATTAATAATTTTACATCAATTGTAAGATTTTTTAATTTCTCGAATTTTCGATTTTCCGTTTCTTCAATTTTTCGATATGCAATTTTCCCAGTCTTAAGCTTATCATTTTCCAATTTCTGGATTTTTAATTTTTCAGATTTTTTAATTATTCCATATTCTGATTTTTTAGATTTTCTCTTTTTTGCAATTTTTGACATACACAATTTTTTGATATTCTTTAATGGCGTTTTTAAGTCGTCTATTTTTTAATGGCGTTTTCGTGTCACCTTCTTTTTTGTTGTTTTTTTGGTATTTTCTTTTTTTGTTCTTTTTTGTCGGCTTTTTTCCAGTTTTCAATTTTTAATTTCTTGATTTCGACTTCTTTATTTTAACACTTTGTTTTTATTTTTACAGTTTTGTAGATCTTTTATCTATGTTTCGATGTTTAGTCCCTTAATTACCTTTCGACTTTTTTAATTTTCGATTTTCTAATTTTTCGAATTGCATTTTCCGATGTTTCAGTTCTACAGTTTTGTAATCCAGCTGTAATTAATTTTTGATTTTTTTTAATTTTTCGATTTGCGGTTTTTTTGTTTTCAATTTTTCGGATTTTTTTATGTCGTTGTTCGATTTTAGAATTTCGAACCTTATTATGCAAATTTTTGATTTTTTCATATTTCCGTTTTCAGTCCCCCAATTTTTGGTTTTCGGGTTGTCGATTTTTCGAACTGCAATTTTTAATTATTTATTTTCCCAATTTCTAATTATTGGAATTTTCGAATCTTTCAGTTACTCATTTGTCTATTTTTCGCATTTTCTAATAATTCCAATTTTTAAGGTTTCGATTTTTAATGCCTCAATTTTTGGTTTTTCGATTAAGATTTTCCAATTTTTGATTTTTCAATTTCGATTTGCAATTTTTCTAGACTTCAATTTATCATTTTCCGATTTCTCGATTTTTCATTTTTCGACTTTTCGGATTTTTTAATTATTGCAATTTTCTGATTTTTAGATTTTCTATATTTCTTGCAATTTTCGATATTTATTTGTACAATTTTTCTTTTTATTTTTACAATTTTGCACAACTCATTTTTGACTTTATCTGTTTCGATGATAGCCCCTCAATTTTAGTTTATGTGATTTTCCAATAAAAATAATTTTAGAAACTTTGTTTTTTTTTTGTTTCTTTAATTTTCAGTTTTTTATTCTTTTGAATTGCAATTTTTCGATTTTTTTATTCTCAATTTTTAATTATTTAGTTTCCCGATTTCTAATTTTTCGATTTTTCGCATTTTTTGCAATTTTGGATTTTTTAAATCTCTGACCTTCACTTCACAATTTTTTATTTTTGCAATGTTTATTTATTTTACGTTTTGATTTTATGAATATTTCGATTTTTAATACCTCAATTTTTGGTTTTTCGAGTAAGATTTTTTAATTTTCCGATTTTATAATGGTACAATAATTGTAATTGTAATGCCCCAAAAATGCTAAAAACTTTTTGATGCAGGGTTGCCACATGTTTTTTAGGGTAAAATAATACAACTTCAGTGGTTCATACAAATTTATCAAAAATTATGTCATTCCAAGGGTTTCCCTATATAAATGAACGTTATATTAAATTTGGGTAAGACTTCCTCGACTCGTTTCCGGCTTTGGGGTGACAATTTATCGTAGCTCAAAAAAATCCTCTCCAAATCCGGCACTCCAGCTACTAATTTATCCACATTGACACTATCAAAGTCGTTCCTCTCCAAAAAGATCACCCTCAAACCTTTCAACCCATCAAACTCCTCCCACGTCAAACTTTTCAACTTATTATCACTCAAATTCAGAACTTTCAGTTGCACTAAGTTCCTAAAAGCCCCTCTGGCGACACTTTCAATCTTATTATGTTGTAAATCAAGCACTTTCAAATTCTTTAACTCTTTGAACGCGTTTTCCTCCACTCTCCCTACCCGGGAGTGCTGAATAGTCAAAGACTTTAAGTCCTCCAACCCCGCCAACACCCCTTCTTCTAACTTAGTCATCCCAGTCCCATTTATAGTCAAACTCTGCAACCCCTTCGTCTCCTTGAAAGCCCCCTTCTCAATTTCGATTCCCGCGCCGTCGAAACTCATCCTCTTCACACGTTGGCACCCCTGCAGATTTTTTTTGGTGATTTTCGGGAACTTTCCATTGTCGGTGACCGTCACTGACGTCAAATTCGGCGTACAACACAACGACCCGGACTCGATGTTGGTGATTTCGCTTAATGTGAAGGTAATTTCGGTGACTTGGGTCAAATTGGAGAAGTTTTCGTGGATTATGGGGCCTTTGGCGTTTCTGATTGTGAGTTTATTGGTAGCACTGGCCAGGATGAGCTCGGGGGAGAAGGCGAAATTCTCGCAGATGGTTTCCTCGAATTCTTCTCGGCAAGGGGGGGAGGCGGCGAACACGCAGGAAAACAGGACTAAAAAGAGAAATGGCGGCATGGTGGTTGGGTTACGACTAAGAGGTCACCGAATACTGGCCTTCAAGGTCGGCGGGAACGTGTTTTGTTGATTAAGATCCGAGTTCCGAGAAGTGGCTTCTTTTTGTTTATTCATTGTTGCTAATTGGGGTGACGTCATTGGAAGGTCTTCAAGTGGGTTTTTTGACGAAGAGGGGCAAAGGTCGACTGTGTAAACAATTTTAATAAAAAAGTAGGTGTTGTGGATAGATTATTTAGTAGTAGTTGGAAACATAACATTTGTTATCAATATTTTTTTAACATTTCAAATTGTAGCTGTAAATGACAAGTCACGAGTTTAAAGTCCCTTTGGCGGCAACATAGACACTTCTTTCGGGTTTTCGTACGTCAATTCAAACGTCACCAACGCAACCACGCCAAATTCACTAAACACCGCTTCAAATTTTAACCCTATTTTTACCGTTTTTACACAAAATATGGACTCGTTTTTGAAGCGTAAAGCAGAAACTGGGGGTAATATGTAATTATTTTACCATTTTTCACCCATACGTTATTTCCAGCTAGCACCAGTAAAAAACTCAAGCTAGAAAATTGCCCCCATGGTGTCAAGTGCTACCGCAAAAACCCGCACCACTTCAGAGAATTTCAGCACCCCCATTGTAATTACGGTCACTTTTTAATGCACTTTTGAAACCCCCATTTTCAGTACTGGAGTTGCTACAAATGGAAAAAATCAAAATCCCTGATGACTATCCACAAGACAAAAGTGTTTATTTAGAGCAACTGGAAGTTCTGGGCCCCCTTGTCAAAGACAAGCCGCTAGCGAAACCCAGCACGAGTCAAGCAACCCAGTCTGAGTGTGCAAAGCCTGGAACTATGCTCGAAAAGCTGCAAAAGGCAGCCCCCTATAACCTCTTTTTTACAACCATTCCAAAGTCGCCTGACACGTCGAAACAAGCAAATAGTGTCACTTTCCCGGATTTGTTGTGTCCGAGCTTAGGCCAGTTGAAGTGTTCCTTACAGATTAATTTTATGATTGATATTGGGTGGTTGATGGAGCAGTATAAAGCGCGAAACTTGGAGTAAGAAATTGGGGTGTCTAGAAGTCGTATTAAAAGTAGAATTGTAGGAAAAAACCGCTCACGATTTTGTACGGTAGCGACGAGTTTCCACAAATGGAACAATATATGGATAAGTTTTTACCACAAGTCACCTACCACTTTGTTAAAATGAAAGACCCGTTTGGTTGTCACCACTCGTAAGATTTTGACTTGTCTCAACTGTCTCTAGTGTCTACTTTTAGAAAAATCGGGGTTTATGTGTATGAAGACAACTCCCTCAGAGTGGTTGTGTCTTCAGCTAACCTCTACTATGAAGACTGGAACCACTACAACCAAGGGTATTAATTAATAAACCCACTACAATTGGCATACTTTTCCATGTTTTTTACAGATTGTGGGTGAGCCCCCGCTGTCGCCCCCTCGCCGACCCCTCAGAAAAATCCGGCGAGTCCCCCACTGGCTTCAAGGCAGCCTTTTTATCATACTTGAAGCACTACAACCTCCCAATTTTAAAAACCTGGATTGACTGCGTTAAAAACGCGGATTTCAGCGACATTAAAGTGTTTTTAGTGACCTCAGTGCCAGGGAAGCATTACCCTGAAACCGCTGGTAGTCACGTCCATCACGTTGGTCATTTACTGTCAAAGCACTGTAGTCTTCCAGCTAAGACGGGGCCCGACAGCGAGGGGCCGTTGTCGTGGGGTATTATGGCGCAAGCCTCCAGTATCGGCTCTTTGGGCAAAGCCCCGGCCGACTGGTTGCGCAGCACCCTCTTGCGGAGTCTCGCGGGGCACAAGCAGACGCAATTGGTGTCAAATTCCAGTGCCACTCTTAGTGTGATTTTTCCCAGTGTGGATAATGTGATGAATGGGTATTTTGGTCCGGAGAGTGGGGGCTGTTTACCGTATTCTAAACAGACGAATGAGAAGCAAAAGTGGCTTCAGACTTATTTGCAGTATGTTATTTTCGTTTTGTTTTATTTTATTTTTTTATTGATTTTTTTTAGTCAGTGGAAGGCGGATAAGTTGAGCAGAACTAGGGCTATGCCCCATATTAAGACCTACTGTCGCGTTTCTCCCTGTCTGTCAAAGTTGGCGTGGTTTCTTGTTACTAGTGCCAACATTTCAAAGTCTGCTTGGGGCGGGAATTTGCAGAAGGATAGGGCGACGTATATCAGGAGTTATGAAGCTGGAGTGATGTTTTTGCCCAAGTTTTTTGATGAGGAGTATTTTGAAATAGCTGCTACTTTAAGCAATAAGAATAAGAAGCTGTTTCCTTTTTTGTATGATTTGCCGTTGACGGAGTATAAGTCCAGCGATTATCCTTGGTGTAATTAATAAAGATTACTGTATTTTGTGGTTATGGTTTGTTCTTCCTTTTTTTTTTATTTCAGTATTAGACTTATGAAGTTACACAAATCTACAGCGAAAGAAACACCTTGAAATTGATTATAATTGACTTAATGATCAGTCGATAAAATTTATAAAATCTGGGTTTGTTACAATTCTGAACATTTTTTGATCTTTCGGGAAAAAATCGAGGCATTGGAAACAGTCAGGAATCCAGGAATAGAGTCAGAACTGTCGGGACACAGTTTCAGGCCTCCCAGAACATAGTTGGGACTCTTAGAAGTCAACAGGTGCCCCTGAAAGACAAGCAGGATCCCTGGAAAACCAGCAGGACTTTTAAAAGACAATCAAGGCTTTTGGAAGACAATCAAAGTCTCTGTAAAACAGTCAGGCCCTCAGGAAGAGAGTGAAGTCCCCTGGAAGAGAGTTAGAACCCCTGGAAGAGAGTCAGGGTGCCTGGAAAATAATGAAGGCTCCTGGAAGATAGTCAGGTCCCCTGGAAGACAGTCAGGGCTCCTGAAAGAGAGTCAGAGCCCCAGGAAGAGAGTCAGGGCCACTGGGATCCAGTTAGAACTCCGAAAAACAGTCAGGATCCCTGGAAGATAGTTATTAGAGTCCTTGAAAGACAGTCAGGGCCACTGGAAAACAGTCAGAGCTTCTAGAAAACAGTCAGGGCGCCTGGAAGACAGTCAAGACTCCTGGAATCCAGTCAGGGCCTATGGAAAACAGTTAGGGTCTCTGGGAGATAGTCATTGCCACTGGAAAAAAGTCAGGGTGCCTGGAAAACAATGAAGGCCCCTGGAAGACAGTCTGGGCCCCTGGGGGACCGTCAGGGCTTCTGCAAGATAGTCAGGGCGCCTGGAAAATAATCAGGGCAACTGGAATCCAGTCAGGACCCTTGAAAGATAGTCATCAGAGTCCCTGGAAAACATTCAAGGCCACTGGAAGTCAGTTAGGGTTCCTGGAAAACAATCAAGGCGTCTGCAATCCAGTCAGAGCCTGTTGAAAAGAGTAAAGGTTTCTGGGAGATAGTCAGGGCCACTGGAAAACAATGAAGGCCCCTGGAAAACAGTCAAGGCGCCTGGAAAACAATCAGTGTAACTGCAATCCAGTCAGGGCCTCTGAAAAATAGTCAGGACTCCTGAAAGATAGTTATCAAGAGTCCCTGGAAGACTGTCGGGGCTACTGGAAGCTAGTCAAGGCCCCTGGAAGAAACTCAGGGTTTCTGGAAGACAGTCTCAGGGCCTTTGGAAAATAGTCAGTGCCGCTGGGAGACAGTCAGGGCCCCTGGGAAACAGTCAGTGCCCCTGAGAGACAGTCAGTGTTCCTGGAAAACAGTTAGAGCCCCTGGACGAAACTCAGTGTCCCTGGAAGACAGTCAGAAGTCAGGGCCCCTGGAAGATAGTCAGGTCCTTTGGAAAATACTCAGGGACCCTGGCAAATAGTCAGGACCACTGAAAAAGAATCAGGGTGCTTGGAAAACAATAAAGGCCCCTGGAAACTAGTCCGGGACCCTGAGAGACAGTCAGGGCCCCTGGGAGACAGTCAGAGCCCCTGAGAAACAGTCAGGGCCCCTGGGAGACAGTTAAGGCTCCTGGAAGACAGTCAGGTCTCTTGGAAAATACTCAGGGACCCTGATGAGAAATAGTTAGGGCCACTGAAAAAAGAATCAGGGTGCCTGGAAAACAATGAAGGCCCCTGGAAGACAGTTTGGGCCCCTGGAAGCTAGTCAGGGACCCTGGGAGACAGTCAAGGCCCCTGGGAGACAGTCAGGGCCTCTGGGAGACAGTCAGGGCCACTGGGAGACAGTCAAGGGCTCTGGAAGATAGTCAGGGCTCCTAAAAGACAGTCAGGGCCCCTGGAAGCCAGTCAGAGCGTTTGAAAGACAGTCAAGACCCCTGGAATTCAGTGAGGGCCTATGGAAAACAGTCAGGGTCCCTAAGAGATAGTCAAGGCCACTGAAAAAAAGTAAGGGTCTCTGGAAAACAATGAAGGTCCTTGGAAGACTGTCAGACCCCCTGGAAGAAACTCAGGGTTCCTGGAAGACAGTCAGGGTCCCTGGAAGACAGTCAGGGTCCCTGGAAGACAGTCAGGGTCCCTGGAAGACAGTCAGGGCTCCTGGAAGACAGTCAGAGTCTCTGGAAAAGAGTCAGGGACCCTGGGAGACAGTCACGGCCACTCAGAGACAGTTAGGGCCCCTGGGAGACATGGCCCCTGGAAGATAGTCAGGGCTCCTGCAAGACAGTCAGGGCCTATGGAAAATAGTCAAGGACCCTGTGAGATAGTCAGGGCCACTGAAAAAGAATCGGGGTGCCTGGAAAACAATGAAGGCCCCTGGAAGACAGTCAGTGTAACTGGAATCCAGTCAGGGCCTCTGAAAAACAGTCAGGACTCCTGGAAGATAGTTATCAGAGTCTTTATAAGACAGTCAGGGCTACTGGAAGACAGTCAGTGTTCCTGGAAGACAGTCAGAACTTCTGGAAAACAATCAGGGCGCTTGGAAGACAATCAAGACCCCTGGACTCCAGTCGGGGTCTATGGAAAACAGTTAGTGTTTCTGAGAGATAGTCAGGACCACTGGAAAAGAGTCAGGCTGCCTGAAAAACAATGAGGGCCCCTGGAAGACAGTCAGGGCCCCTGGAAGACAGTTAGGGCCCCTGTAAGATATTTAGAGCGTCTGCAAAACTGTCAGGGTGCCTGGAACAACCACTGCAACTGGAATCCGGTCAGGGACTCTGGAAAACAGTCAGCACCCCTGGAAGAGAGTTATCAGAGTCCCTGGAAGACACTCAGGGCCACTGGAAGACAGTCGGAGCTTGTAGAGAACAGTCAGGCCGCCTAGAAGACAGTTAAGGCCCCTGAAATTCAGTTAGGGTCGATGTAAAAGGGCCAGGGTTCCTGAGAGACAGTCAGGGCTCCTGAAAGATAGTCAGGGCTCCTGAATGATAGTCAGGGCTTCTGGAAGACAGTCAGGGCCCTTGAAATCCAATCAGAGCCTCTGAAAAACAGTCAGGGCCTCTGGAAAACAATCAGGGTTCCTGGAAGACAGTCAGAGATTATGGAAAACAGTCAGGTTTCCTGAAAAACAGTCAAGACCGCTGGAATCCAGTCAGGGTCCGTGGAAAACAGTCAGGGCCACTGGAAGATAGTTTTAGTTCCTGGAAGACAGTCAGAGATTCTGAAAAACAGTCAGGTCGTCTGGAAGACAGTCAAGACCGCTGGATTTCAGTCAGGGTTCCTGGGAGATAGTTAGGTCCACTGGGAAAGAGTCTGGGTACCTGGAATATAATCAAGGTCCCTGGAAGATAGTTATCAGAGTCCCTGGAAGACAGTCAGAACCACTGGAAGACATTCGGAGCTTGTGGAAAACAGTCAGGGCGCCTGGGAGACAGTTAAGACCCCTAGAATCCAGTCAGGACCTATGGAAAAGAGTCAGAGTTCCTGGGAGATATAGTCAGGGCCACTGGAAAACAGTCATGGCCATTGGAAGACAGTCAGGGCCACTGCAAGATAGTCAAGGTTCCTGGAAAACAGTCAGGGCTCCTGGAAGACAGTCAGGGGATTTGAGAGACAGTCAGGGCCCCTGAAAGATAGTCAGGTCTCTTGAAAGACAGTCAAGACCGCTGGAATCCAGTCAGAACTTGTGGAAAACAGTCAGGGCCACTGGAAGATAGTTGGGATTCCTGGAAGACAGTCAAGGCCACTGGAAGACAGTCAGAGATTCTGGAAAACAGTCAGGTTGTCTGGAAGACAGTTAAAACCCCTGGAATTCAGTCAGGGTCTATGTAAAAGGGCCATGGTTCCTGGGAGATAGTCAAGGTCACTGGAAAACAGTCAGGGCCACTGGAAGATAGTCAGAGTTTCTGGAAAACAGTCAGGGCTCCTGGAAGACAGCCAGGGCTCCTTGGAAGACAGTCAGGGCTGCTGGAAGACAGTCAGGGGATCTGAGAGACAGTCAGGGCTCCTGAAAGATAGTCAGGGCTCCTGAAAGAGAGTCAGGGCTCCTGGAAGACAGTCAGGGCCCCTGGAATCCAATCAGAGCCTCTGAAAAACAGTCAGGGGCCCTGGAAAACAATCAGGGTTCCTGGAAGACAGTCAAAGATTATGGAAAACAATCAGGTTTTCTGAAAGACAATCAAGACCGCTGAAATCCAGTGAGGGCCTGTGGAAAACAGTCAGGGCTACTGGAAGATAGTTTTAGTTCCTGGAAGACAGTCAAGGCCACTGGAAGACAGTCAGAGATTCTGAAAAATAGTCAGGTCGTCTGGAAGACAGTCAAGACCGCTGGATTTCAATCAGGGTCCCTGGGAAATAGTCAGGTCCACTGGGAAAGGGTCTGGGTACCTGGAATATAATCAAGGCCCCTGGAAGATAGTTATCAGACTCCCTGGAAGACAGTCAGAGCCACTGGAAGACAGTCGGAACTTATGGAAAACAGTCAGGGCGCCTAGAAGACAGTTAAGACCCCTAGAATCCAGTCAGGACCTATGGAAAAGAGTCAGAGTTCCTGGGAGATATAGTCAGGGCCACTGGAAAACAGTCAGGGCCATTGGAAAACAGTCAGGGCTACTGGAAGATAGTCAAGGTTCCTGGAAAACAGTCAGGGTTCCTGGAAGACAGTCAAGGCCACTGGAAGACAGTCAGAGATTCTAGAAAATAGTCAGGTCCTCTGGAAGACAGTCAAGACCGCTGGAATTCAATCAGGGTCTCTGGGAGATAGTCAGGTCCACTGGGAAAGAGTCAGGGTACCTGGAATATAATCAAGGCCCCTGAAAGTGAGTTACAGCCCATGGAAGCGAGTCATGCAGGGCCCCAGGAAGAGAGTTAGCGCCCCTGGAAGAGAGTCAGGATGCCTGGAAGCTAATCAAGGTTCCTGGAAGAGAGTCAGGGTCTCTGGAAAACAGTCAGGGTACACGGAAGACAATTAGAGCCTCTGGAAGACAGTCAGGGTCTCTAAAAAACAGTCAGAACCCCTGGGAGATAGTTATCAGAGTCCCTGGAACACAGTCAGGATTACTGGAAGACGGTGGGGGTTCCTGGAAGACAGTCAGAGCTTCTGGAAAACAGTCAGGCCCCCTGGAAAACAGTCAGGGCCTCTGGAAAACACTCAGGGTTCCTGGAAGACAGTCAGAGATTCTGGAAAACAGTCATCAGGCCGCCTGGAAGACAGTCAAGAACGCTGGAATCCAGTCAGGGCTTATGGAAAACAGTCAGAACCCCTGGAAGATAGTCATCAGAGTCCTTGGAAGACAGTTAGGCTTCCTGGAAGAGAGTCGGGGTCTCTGGAAAACAATCGTGGCATCTGGAAGATAGTCAGAGCCCCTGGAAGACAGTTAGGGTCCCTGGAACACAATTAGAGCCCTCGGAAGAGAGTCACAGCTCCTGGAAAACAGTCAGGGCACCTCGAATTCAGTCAGGGCTTCTGAAAATCAGTCAGGGCTCCTGGAAGATAGTTATCAGAGTCCCTGGAAGACAGTCAGGGCCTCTGGAAGACAGTCAGGGTCTCTGGAAGACAGTCAGAGCTCCTGGAAAACAGTCAGTGCGCTTGGAAAACAGTCAAGGCCCCTGGAATCTATTCAGAGCCTCTGGAAAACAATCAGAGTCCCCGGAAGACAGTCAGGGCGATTGGAAGACAATCAGGGTCCCTAGCAGACAGTCAGCGTTCTCGATAGACAGTTAAGGCCTCTAGAAAACACTCGAGGCCTCTCTAAGACAGTCAAATGTGGGGATTTGAAGAAAAAAGCAACGGCCGTCCAGATCACTTTAATTTTCTTTACATTACAAGTACACACCTAGAAAGAATACAGACGTAAAGTGTGTCATATTAAACACCAGAATAAAATTCCACACCTGAAGTTTATTCCCGACGCTCCATATTCTTTCTACGTCTGTGACTACAACACCAACCAATTTAAACATCCACCAATTACATTAATGCATTTCCAAAATAACCGCAACATTTTCACCAATCGCCGGCCTGTACTCCAAATTCCACAGACTCGTAAACACGAGAGACTCCCCTTCCCCCAGCTTCACGTCAATCACCGGACACTCCTCGGCGCAGTTCTTCCGCGGCACCAACCTGACGAAGTTCCCGCCAAAAACCTGCCCCACCACCGTCACCTTCTCCACCAACCCGATCTCCTTAAACTGACTCACGTTGTAATTCCTGCTCCACAACAGCCAATTAAACTGCACCGGCGACAACTCGGGCGGGACAAACCGCGGGCGCGGCGCAAACGCCCGAAACTGCTTCATGGCGCGAAAATCGCAGTTTTGAAAATGCAGAAAAAAACTATCGAACAGCTCCGTCCTGCCGAGCAGATCTTTCACCGGAGGCACGTCGTTGTGGACATTCGTGGACAAACCGCAAGGCTTGGAGTTGGCTATGTCGGGGTGGGCGACCAAGTCGTCGATGAAAGAGTCAAACTTCGGGAAGCTTTGCTTGATTATGACGGGCACGTGGACGTCGAGGTAGCGCTTTTTCAGCAAGTCGGTGGAGATGGTGTCGTAGACGTCGATCTCGTGGAGGGTTTCGCAGAGGTCGCAGTTGAAGCGCGGGTCGGCGGGGGGCGGGGAAGGCTTGTCGATGAGGCATTTGGCGTTTTTGAGGGCGGTCCAGTCCCAGAGGGGGAGGAGCTTGATGAGGAGGATGCGGCCGAGGGCGGAGAAGTGCCAGGAGATGGAGTCTATGTAAGTGAGGAGGTAGAGGAGGGTGAGGAGGGCGATGGGGGCGAGAAGGAGGGCTAAGTGTTTGGTTGTGGAAGAAGGAGGGGCTAAGGGGGCGAAGATTTTGCGGATTTCGGCGTCGGTGAAGTTGTTGTCTTTCAGGGACTTGTAGAAGTCGTTTAATTCGGCGTTGAATTGTTGGAAGGTGTGGGGGCGTGGAGAGGGGTGGTTCTTCATTGTAACTGGAAAAAAAGTAATGGTTAATGAGTCAGTGGTGCCAACTTTGCTATCAAAGTCGCAGAAGCATTCGATTTATGTTTGGATCGCCGCCCCCACAAATCCTACCTTCAATACAGACTCGTCGCCGCCGCCAAGATAAGTCACACGACCAACAGGTTGTTCGATTACTTGGGCGCACGCTTGGGGTTATTGATTGCCAAGTCTGCCCCCAGTGGCGTAGCTAACTTCCACTGCGCCCCCCCGCAGTTTATAATAAGCGCCCCCACACACCAAATTTAAAAAGTAATATAAAATCAGCCCCGTAGCTAGAAAACTTATTCAGGGGGGGGCAAGTTTGTCGACAGAGGGGGCTTCATGTAAATATTTATATTTTAATAATACACTCAGATAACTACTTTATTTTTTCTGAGTTTTTATATTTGAAAGAACATTAAAATAATTGGAAACGTCGATTTTTTTACGCTAAATTTTCGTAAAAACCTGTCCAAAAAATTAGTACGGTACTTGGTTAAAATGCTGGTTAAAACAGAGAATGTAGATTCACAAACAGCTGTACTGCATCCAAAAATTTGTGTAGTGGCCATATAGGTAACATCCAATTTGTTTGAGTTTATTTTTTTGGATGTTTAGTACATATTTTAAAAATCCGGCTTCGAAACCAAATATTTAGAAAATTTTGGTACGGAACCATGAACTCGTCATGTTTTTTTAAACTCGTCGAGATGTGTATTTCAGAATTTTTTTTCAACTTTAACAAAAGCTCAATTTTTGGAAACCCATATAAAATTTTTGACTTTTCCCAAGCATTTTCGAAAATTACCAAAAGAGATTCCTTTGTTCATCTCGATTTCCAGAAATCGTTTTGGATTCAATTTTTTTGAAAATTCTTACATTTTTTGCAGAATCGACGGAAGAAATATGGCAATTTTTGAGAAAATGTATCAAATTTTTGACTTTTTTCAAGCACGTTCGAAATTACCAAAAGGGATTCCTTTATTGATTTCGATCTCCAGATGTTGTTTTTGGTTCTATTTTCGAAAATTCGTACAATTTTTCCATAATCGCCAAAAGAAATATGGTAATTTTTGAGAAATTTTGAAAATTCGAGCTCGAAACCGAGTATTTCGAAAATTTTGATCCGGAATCATGAACCTGTCATGTTTTTATAAGCTCGTCGAAATCTATATTTCAGAATTTTTTGTCAACTTTTGCGAAAGTTCAATTTTTGAAAACCCATATAAAATTTTTGACTTTTCCCAAGCATTTTCGAAAATTACTAAAAGAATTCCTTTGTTCATCTCGATTTCTTCCAAAAATCGTTTTGGATTCAATTTTTTTGAAAATTCTTACATTTTTTGCAGAATCGACGGAAGAAATATGGCAATTTTTGAGAACCTGTATCAAATTTTTGACTTTTTTCAAGCACGTTCGAGATTACCAAAAGGGATTCCTTTATTGATTTCGATCTCCAGATGTTGTTTTTGGTTATTTTTTCGAAAATTCGTACAATTTTTCCACAATCGCCAAAAGAAATATTGTAATTTTTGAGAAATTTTGAAAATTCGAGCTCGAAACCGAGTATTTCGAAAATTTTGATCCGGAATCATGAACCTGTCATGTTTTTTTAAGCTCGTCCAAATCTGTATTTCAGAATTTTTTGTCAACTTTTACGAAAGTTCAATTTTTGAAAACTCATAAAATTTTTGGCTTTTCCCAAGCATTTTCGAAAATTACCAAAAGAGATTCCTTTGTTCATCTCGATTTCCAGAAATCGTTTTGGATTCAATTTTTTTGAAAATTCTTACAATTTTTCCAGAATCGACGGAAGAAATATGGCAATTTTTGAGAACCTGTATCAAATTTTTGACTTTTTTCAAGCACGTTCGAGATTACCAAAAGGGATTCCTTTATTGATTTCGATCTCCAGATGTTGTTTTTGGTTATTTTTTCGAAAATTCGTACAATTTTTCCACAATCGCCGAAAGAAATATGGTAATTTTTGAGAAATTTTGAAAATTCGAGCTCGAAACCGAGTATTTCGAAAATTTTGATCCGGAATCATGAACCTGTCATGTTTTTTTAAGCTCGTCCAAATCTGTATTTCAGAATTTTTTGTCAACTTTACGAAAGTTCAATTTTTGAAAACCCATATAAAATTTTTGACTTTTCCCAAGCATTTTCAAAAATTATCAAAAGAGACTCCTTTGTTCATCTCGATTTCCAAAAATCGTTTTGGATTTTTTATCTGTATTTCAATTTTTCGATTTTTGGAATTTTCTGTTTTTCGATTTTTCCGTTTATCTTTTAAGTAAATATTTCAATTTTGAATTTTCCGATTTCGGCCTATTTCGATTTCTCGATCTTTTAAAATCTCAAGTTTTCGATTTCGATTTCTTGGTTTTTCGATTTTCAAAATTTTCGACTTTTCTAACATATATTTTAAATTTTTCATGTTTCCCTTTTATAATCTTTATGTTTCGATTTCCCGATTTTAATGTGATTCAATTTTTCCATTTTTGGAATTTTCGATTTCTCATATCTCAATTTTGCAATTTAAAAAATTTTTCGATTTCTCGATTTTTAAGTTTTCGCTATCTCAATTTTAAACATCGCAATTTTGGGAATTTTTTAATTTCTATATTTTTCAGATTTTCGACATTTTCATCTTCCCGATTTTGTAATTTTCATTTTCTTGATTTTATATCACAATTTTTCTTTTTTCCATTACCTTTATTTTTTAAATGTTTCTTTGGATTTTATAATTTTTTGTTTATTCAATTTTTTACATTTTCAATCATTGATTTTTTAAGTTCTTGATTTCCAATTTTTTTATTTTTCGAAGCTTTCATTTTGTACTTTTTCAGTATTACAATTTTTCTATTTTATAATTTTTCGATTTTGTTTATTCGAAAGTGAAAAATTGAAACAATGAAAAACTAAAAACCGAGAAACTTAAAAATCTAAAAAAAATAATGAATCGAAGAATGGGAAAGAAGAAAAACCATTCGAATTGAAAAATTGTAAAATCCAAAAATTGTAAAATCGAAAAGTTATAGAATCTTGAAAACTGTAAAGTCCAAAAACTGTGACATTCAAACACCGAAAAATTGAAAAACTCCAAAAACGAAAAACTGAAAAAGTGAACAACTTTAAAAATTATAATTATTATTAGGAGTGTTACATAATTAAAATGAAAACTAGAAAAACTGCAAATGAAAAATTAAAGAAACGGAAAATTGAAAGCTGAAAATTGAAAAAATTAAGAAAATTAAAAACCCACACGAAAAATTGACGAAATTAAAAACTGAAAACTCGTGAAATTTAAAAAATAGAAAAATTACAATAACGAAAAATTTAACATTAAAAAAAGAAAACACAAAATTAAAAACTCGAAAAATCGAGAAATCGAGAAATGGAAAAATGAAAATTTAGAAAAACCAAAGATTGAAAAGCATAAAAAAATTAAAATCGAGAAATCCGAACGTAAAAAAAATAAAACCGAAAAATTGAAAAATTTTAAATTTAAAAATTCGAAAACTTGAAAAACCGAAAAACTGAAGAAATGAAAAACTAAAAAATCGCCAAATTGAAAAATCTCAAAACTGAAAAGTCGAAAAATTGAAAAACCCAAAAATCGATTTCCGGTAAGTCGAAAAATTAAAATTTAAAAAGTTGAAAAATGAAAATATCAAAAAACTGAAAAATATAAGACATTCTCAAAATTGAAATGTTGAAAAATTGAGAAATCGAAAACTTGAAAAATCCAGAAGTCGAAAAAAAGAACCAAAGTAAAAACATTTTAAAATCGAAAAAACGAATAATCGAGATGTAAGAAATCGAAAATTCCAAAATCGAAAAATTGGAATACACGTTAAAAAGGTTAAAATCGGGAGATCGAAGCATAACAAAACATAAATCGAAAAATGGAGAATTTTAAAAATCTAAAAACTTGAAGCAATAAAAAATTGAAAAATGGAAAAGCAGAGAAATCGAAATTAAAAAATTAAGACATCAAAAGATCCGAGAAATGGAGAAATCGAAATAGCCCGAAATCGAAAAACCGGAAAATTTAAACCTGAAATACATCTTTAAACTTAAAAAAAAACGATAAATCAAAATATTCAAAATTCAAAAAATCAGAAATTCTAAAAATCGAAACATCGAGAAATCGAAATATCAAAAAAGTGAAAAATTTTAAATAAAAAAATTGGAGATATTGAAAAATCCCAAAATTGGAACAACGAAAAGTTCAAAAATCGGTAAACTGGAAAGAGGAAAAATCGAAAAATCAAAGAATTGATTAATAGAGAAATTGAGAAATGTTAAAATGAAAATTTAAAAAAGGCAAAAATTGAAAAATTGTAAAACTAAAATATCGAAAAATTAAGTAAACTAAAAATCGAGAAATCAAGAAATTGAAAAATTCTAATTCAATTTTGTTTTATTTTTCCACAAAAATTTCGATGTCGAAGAAAAAAATTCAACACGGATTCATAAACCATAGATACACTGTTACTTTTTTTAAATTTATATAACATTTATTTGACAAAACTGTAGAACTGAAGAAACGAAAAATAGAAACATTGAAAAACTAAAAATCGAGAAAAAATTAAAGAATCAAAGAACGAATTAAATCGAAAAATGTAAAGTAAAAAAACTAATATTCAAAGATCGAAAAATTAAAAAATTCCAAAAACGAAAAATTGAAAAAGTGAACAACAAATCAAAAATGTTGTAATTTTCATTTTCTTGATTTTATATCACAATTTTTCATTTTTCCATTACCTTTATTTTTTAAATGTTTCTTTGGATTTTATAATTTTTTGTTTATTCAATTTTTTACATTTTCAATCTTTGATTTTTTAAGTTCTTGATTTCCAATTTTTTTATTTTTCGAAGCTTTCATTTTGTACTTTTTCAGTTTTACAATTTTTCTATTTTATAATTTTTCGATTTTGTTTATTCGATAAGTTAAAAACTCCAAAAAATGAAAAATTGAAACAATGAAAAACTAAAAACCGAGAAACTTAAAAATCTAAAAAAAAAATAATGAATCGAAGAATGGGAAAGAAGAAAAACCATTCGAATTGAAAAATTGTAAAATCCAAAAATTGTAAAATCGAAAAGTTATAGAATCTTGAAAACTGTAAAGTCCAAAAACTGTGACATTCAAACACCGAAAAATTGAAAAACTCCAAAAACGAAAAACTGAAAAAGTGAACAACTTTAAAAATTATAATTATTGTTAGTGCCTCTGGCGGGGACCTGTTTCACCCCTCTCCACCCGTAAGGGTGGGAGCCAGGGCCACCACCACCTTCGAATACAGGGAACATTATTCACTATTCATCATTCACTCTTCAAGCACTCTTCAAGCACTCTTCAAGCGGTTAACATAGTCTTATATTCAATCTCTGGACCTAACGGTCATAATATCATACTCGCTCTAGAACACACTTGTTATTTATTTAATAAAACTATAAAACGACTGTCCGCTGCTCTTATTCTTCATCCATCAAAACTTAACAATTATTAGGAGTGTTACATAATTAAAATGAAAACTAGAAAAACTGCAAATGAAAAATTAAAGAAACGGAAAATTGAAAGCCGAAAATTGAAAAAATAAAGAAAATTAAAAACCCACACGAAAAATTGACGAAATTAAAAACTGAAAACTCGTGAAATTTGCAAACTCTAAAATTTGAAACATCTAAAATTTGGAAAATCAAAAACTGAAAAATCGAGAAATCGAAAATTTTCAAAACTGAAAAGTCGAAAGATTGAAAAATCGAAATTTGGAAAATCGAAAAACCGAGGAATTCAAACCGAAAAAAGATCGAGAATTCAAGATGTCGAAAAATCTAAATATCTAAAATTTAAAAAATAGAAAAATTACAATAACGAAAAATTTAACATTAAAAAAAGAAAACACAAAATTAAAAAGTCGAAAAATCGAGAAATCGAGAAATGGAAAAATGAAAATTTAGAAAAACCAAAGATTGAAAAGCATAAAAAATTAAAATCGAGAAATCCGAACGTAAAAAAAATAAATCCGAAAAATTGAAAAATTTTAAATTTAAAAATTCGAAAACTTGAAAAACCGAAAAACTGGAGAAATGAAAAACTAAAAAATCGACAACTGAAAAGCCGAAAAATTGAAAAACCCAAAAATCGATTTCCGGTAAGTCGAAAAATTAAAATTTAAAAAGTTGAAAAATGGAAATTTCAAAAAACTGAAAAATATAAGACATTCTCAAAATTGAAATGTTGAAAAATTGAGAAATCGAAAACTTGAAAAATCCAGAAATCGAAAAAAAGAACCAAAAGTAAAAACATTTTAAAATCGAAAAAACGAATAATCGAGATGTAAGAAATCGAAAATTCCAAAATCGAAAAATTGGAATACACGTTAAAAAGGTTAAAATCGGGAGATCGAAGCATAACAAAACATAAATCGAAAAATGGAGAATTTTAAAAATCTAAATCTTGAAGCAATAAAAATTTGAAAAATGGAAAAGCAGAGAAATCGAAATTAAAAAATTGAGACAAAATTCAAAAAATCAGAAATTTTAAAAATCGAAACATCGAGAAATCGAAATATCAAATAAGTGAAAAATTTTAAATAAAAAAATTGGAGATATTATTATTATTATTATTATTATTATTTTATTATTATTATTATTTTTATGCATATTTACTTTGACTTGCAATGTCACTTTTAATTATATCATACTTGCTATGCTTACGCATCGTAAACCTCGGAAGCACGTATTGAAAAATCCCAAAATTGTAACAACGAAAACTTCAAAAATCGGTAAATTGGAAAGAGGAAAAATCGAAAAATCAAAGAATTGATTAATAGAGAAATTGAGAAATGTAAAAATGAAAATTTAAAAAAGGCAAAAATTGAAAAATTGTAAAACTAAAATATCGAAAAATTAAGTAAACTAAAAATCGAGAAATCAAGATATCGAAAAATTGTAATTCAATTTTGTTTTATTTTTCCACAAAAATTTCGACGCCGAAGATAAAAATTCAACACGGATTCATAAACCATAGATACACTGTTACTTTCTTTTAATTTATATAACATTTATTTGACAAAACTGTAGAACTGAAGAAACGAAAAACTAAAAATCGAGAAAAAATTAAACTAACATTCAAAGATCGAAAAAAAAAAAAATTCCAAAAACGAAAAATTGAAAAAGTGAACAACTCTAATAAAAATTATTATAATTATTATTACATATCTAAAATGAAAACTAGAAAACCTACAAATCAAAAATTGAAGCTGCCTGCCCCCATTAACTGAACTGCGGCGGAAGCAATGACCGAGAAGCTCAAAAAAAGACAAATTGTATTCTAGTTTTCGTATAAAATCATTTCTTTGTAAAAAAAATAAAACTATAAATCAAGTGTTTCAATTACAATGACATTTAAAATTTCGTATGTAGGCAACCAGTAATACTCCTCGGTGTATAATCTTTTACGTTTGTGGTACCGACTAAATGACATTTATAAGAACAAGAGGAGGAAAAGGAAAAGGGTGAAGAAGACGCTGATGATTTCATATTTAACTGACCGGACTAGAATGATTTTTATTGACAGGAAATAAAAATGTGCGTCAGACAATTTGACTTTGGCGCTCGTGCTTGTCCAATCACGTCGCTCGAACCCGCAGTGCTGCCAACCCCTCTCACCTGCCGCGACAAACCAGCACCCGGGGGCCCCATTCCCGGCTCCGCCGCGACCGCCCCACGCCGCCCCGTGGTCGGCGGCGGGGTTCGCCGCCGCCGCGGCCCCGATCCGGCCGCGCGCCAACAGGTTGCTCGGCCCCCTCGGGCGCACGCCCCGCGCTATTGATCGGGCCGCGTTTGCCGCCATAAACCGAACGCGGAAGAAGCAATGACCTACGGTGGCGGCGCGCCTGCGCAGTCTGTCCATGTCAGTCTGACAGACAACACTCTGCAAATGCTGTGTTCTAATTGTTTGTTGTTAAAGGAATTGGTTTTTTGAGCACCCATCCGCCAGGCCCCCGACGTGCCGCCAGCAGGACGCCGCCCCCGAGCCGCCTGCCGCGAATGTGAAGAGGTGAGGGTGAGATCGCCGAGATCGTGATTACGTCACTGAGCCATTTTGTGGCTTGTAGGTGTCTTCGAGCTTTGTTGTCTGAGGGTCGATCACGTTCCTCGTGCGTATTTCTTTAGAGCAGGTTCCAGCCAACGACTCCAAAATTCCGGTACCGACGAGAAACAAGGACCATACCGGCCACCACGGTAACGGTGAGATGAACAACAAGAGGAAAAACAGAGGGCCTGTGAGGTTAGTAAGGGGGCTGTGGGTGCGTTGGCGAAGGGGGCTGTCACGCGGGCGTCGCTCTCGGGCGCAACCAGGCGCTTTTAACCACCAAAAACCTCCTCGAGCGTTCCTTCTAGTGTGACGAATTTGTGCCCCATCAGGGATCACCCAATGCTCGCTTTCAACCCCAAGCGCCCCCCTGACAGTTCGCCCATTTGTTTGGTTTCGGGTTGAGTTTCTCCTCTCAATTACCACAGGCATGAATCATCACTTTATCTCATGTTCTTCCCATCGGTATCTTATTAGATTAGTAGGCCTATGATGGGTTTGTGGGGTTCAGCGGCCTTGATTAGTTGCTTGTGGGTTAATTTGGGAGCTGTTGAACCCATCAATTTTACATTTTTATTTTATTTCCGCGATTTACAAGTTACATTAATTGCTGTCTTTAACACCACATAAAACTGTAATCACAAGCAAGGTCAAGTTTGGTAATTTTTATTCATCGGTATTGTGATCCCTGATTAGAATTTTATCAACACAAACATAAACGTAAATCGTTTTGTTTTTAAATGAGTCACAGATGTTTGATTCACGGTTTTCTGGTAAATTTGTGCGCGGTTTTGCTTAACTTGTTACCTAAAGAAATAAAAAATGTAGAGTGTGGAAAATTTGATTGATCGAGTTGGCTTTGCACGTATCTGTCATTTTTTTACTTCTGATTGAATGTTTCAACAGTCACATGAGCATAGCAGAGTTAGACACTCTAGTATTAAACAAGAGGACAAAATTTATGTTGAGGGAACAAAAAAAATCGTTCTATATTCTGTCCTAGAACTGAATGTGGTAGCAACTCGGCTGGGCCTCGGGGTAAATTTCACTTCACATTTTTTATTTTTTGTTTTATTTTTGTCAAAGTATAAAATAAAATGCTTTTTGTTAGCATTTTTCACTTGCCACTGGTTACTTTGATTTTAAATTGACTTATGATATGATACATAGAACATTTTACATCGTACTCATAATTTCTGCTAAAATTTTTGACATTTTTTGATGTAAAACTCTTGTTGGATACATATTTCTATAGTGTTCAACTTGTCATTAAATTCGGCTTTTATTGCATTTTATGTCACACTGTGACTTGGGAAACAATTGTTTAATTTGCAGTTTTTCGAGTTTTCGATTTTATCTTTTTCAAACTTTCAAATTTTCAATTTATTTAGAAAGCATTTTCAAAATTTTGTAATTTTTCGGTTGTTTTTCTTTAATTTCTCGACATTGCAACTTAAAATTTTTTTTTTCAACGTTTGTTTTTCTGATTTTTTAATTTTTGGTTTCTTCAATTTTTGGATCTTTGGTTTTTGTTTCTTATAATTTTCAAGTTTTCAAGTCTAAATTTTTTGATTTTTTGATTTTTCAGCGCTTTTGAATTTTTGAATTTTTTAAATTTTGTTTTTCGGTTTTTTACAATTTTTCCAGTTTTCCATCTCAATTTTTAAGTTTTTGTTTTTGAATTGTTTGATTTCTAAAATTTTTCATTTCTTCATTTTTTAGATTTTCAATTCTTTTGCATTTTTCAAAATTTTTTGTTTCTTTAAATTTTAGATCTACAATTTTTCTAGATTTCGGTTCCAGAATTTGACGTAATTAGGCCGCCCACCCACCCTGCCTCCATTTCAGTGATTGGTTTTATCCGGTCAGAATGAAATGAATGATCTTATACTATAGTCGTTAGAATAAGAAGAGGGTGGGTGGGCGGGGCTAGAATTTGTTGTCTTTTTCTACATTTCGATTCTTCGTTTTTTAGATTTTCGATTTATCGTTTCTCCGATTTCTGGGATTTTCATGTTTTGGAATTTTTCAATTATCGAATTTGCAATTTTTTTCGATATTCGAATTTTCACTTGGTTTCATTCCTGTTCAATTTTTAAAATTTTCGAATTTTGGAATTTTTGATTAGTGGTTTTTTCAATTTTTCCGTTCTTCAGTTTCAGACTTTGATTTTTTTAATTTTCGATCTTTCGATATTCAAATTTTCAATTTTTTTACTATTCGGTTTTTCGATTTTTCATTTTTTTATTTTTCGATTTTTGAATTTTTCGAGTTCTCGATTTCTCGATGTTTCGGTTTTTCAGTATTTCGATATTTCAAATTTTCAATTTCCCAAATTTGACAAGATTTTTCGATATTCCATTTTTTTTAATTGTGGTTTTTCCGCTTCCGATATTTTTTTTTCTGTATTTCCATTCTTGGATTTTTAGATTTTCGATTTTCCTTTTCTGATTTCTCGGATTTTCAAGGTTTCAATTATTTCATTCATCGAATTTTCGATTTTTTTTCGATATCCGAATTTTCAATTGGTTTAATTTTTTTTTTCGACTTCTCGATTTTAAAATTTTTCAATTTTTGGAATTTCCGGTTTATGATTTTTTCAATTTTTCCGCTCCTTAGTTTTAGACTTTTCAAATTTTTTACTTTATTCGATATTCCAATTTTTTTTTTAATTCATTTCTTCATTTTTTAGATTTTTCAATTCTTTTGGATTTTTAATTTTAAGATCTACAATTTTTTTAGATGTCAGTTCGAAAATTTTGTATTTTTCAACTATTGAATATTTCGATTTTGTAATTTTTCATTTTTGCAGTTTTCAGATTTTTCAAATAATCGATTTTTCAGCTTTCGTTTTCTTGGTTTTTTAATTTTCGATTGTTCAGTTTCTTGTTGCTTCAATTTTTCGAGTTTTGAAGTTAAAATTTTTAAATTTTTGAGTTTTAAAATTTTTGTTTTTTCATCTTTGGAAATTTTTGATTTTTTTTCGATTGTTGAAATTACAATTTTTCGAGTTTTCCATGTTATTTTTTTAGACTTTCAAATTTTCAATTTATTTAGAATTCAGTTCCAAAATGTTGTATTTTTAATTTTTAGATTTAGTAATATTTCATATCTTTAATTTTTAGATTTTTCAAATGTTCAATTTTTCGATCTTAGTTTTTTGTTTCTTCACATTTTCGAGTTTCAAGTTAATTTATTGTCGAATTTGTCATTTCGTCATTGTTTTTTTCAATTTTCCATTGAATATTTTTCTTTTTTAAACATTTTGTTTTTCGGTTTTTTATAATTTTTTTAGTTTTCAATTTAAATTTTTAAGTTTTCAGATTTTCAATTTTTTTGTTTCTTTAGTTTTTAGATCTAAAATTTTTCTAGACTTCAGTTCTAAAATTTCGTATTTATTAACTTTTGAATATTACGATTTGACAATTTTTTTATTTTTTCAATTTTCAATTTTTCAACTTTCGTTTTCATGATTTTTTAATTTTTTGTTTCAATTTTTCGATCTTTCAGTTTCTTGTTGCTTCAATTTTCGAGTTTTGAAGTTAAAATTTTTGAATTTCCGAATTTTTGAATTTTTTGTTTTTTCAACTTTGGAATTTTTTTTCGATTGTTCAATTTGCAATTTTTCGAAAATTTTGTATTTTAAAATTTTTGAATTTTGTAATTTTTTATTTCTTCAATTTTCAGATTTTTCAAATGTTCGATTTTTCATTGTTTTTCTGATCTTCTGTTTTTTTTCGATATTCGATTTTTTTTAATTTTGATTTTTGGATTTTAGAATTTTCGACTTTTCGACTTTCTATATTTCTTTTTTTCCATGTTTCGAGTCTTGGATTTTTTGATTTTCGATTTTCGTTTTCCCATTTCTTGGATTTTCAAGTTTTCGATTTTTTTCGATATTCAAATTTTCAGTTGCTTTCATTTCTTTTCGATTTCTCGATTTTTCAATTTTTCAGGTCTTCGATTTTAAAAATGTTCGATTTGTGATCTTTTCAATTTTTCCACTCCTCAGTTTTAGAGTTTTCAAATTTTTTACTTTTCGATTATTCGATATTTTTATTTTTTTATTCGTTTTTATTTTTTTCCTCATTTTTTAGATTTTTCAATTCTTTTGGATTTTTAATTTTTAGATCTACAATTTTTTTAGATGTCAGTTCCAAAAATTTTGTATTTTTCAACTATTTAATATTTCGATTTTGTAATTTATCATTTTTGCAGTTTTCAGATTTTTCAAATATTCGATTTTTCAACTTTTATTTTCTTGATTTTTTAATTTTCCGATCTTTCAGTTCCTTGTTGCTTCAATTTTTCGAGTTTTGAAGCTAAAATTTTTGAATTTTCGAGTTTCCAAATTTTTGAATTTTTTATTTTTTCAACTTTGGAAATTTTTGATTTTTTTTTGGATTGTTCAATTTGCAGTTTTTCGAGTTTTCTATTTTAATTTTTTAATACTTCCAAATTTTCAATTTATTTAGAATTGAGTTCCAAAATTTTGTATTTTTTAATTTTGATTTACTAATTTTTCATTTCTTCAATTTTTAGATTTTTCAAATGTTCAATTTTTCAGTTATTTTTCTGATTTTTTTATTTTTCCTTTTTTCAGTTTTTGGATCTTCAGTTTTTTGTTTCTTCACATTTTCGAGTTTCAAGTCTAAATTTATTTTTGAATTTTTCATTTCGTCAGATTTTTCGATTTTTCCTTTTTTTTGTTTTTTTCAATTTTCCAACTTTTGAATATTTTTCTCTTAAACTTTTTGTTTTTCGTTTTTTATAATTTGTCTGGATCAAATTCAATTTTTAAGTTTTCAGATTTTGAATTGTTAATTTTTTAATTTTTCATTTCTTCATTTTTTAGATTTTCAATTTTTTTTTCTTTAATTTTTAGATCTAAAAATTTTTATAGATTTCAGTTCTAAAATTTTGTATTAACTATTGAATATTACGATTTGATAATTTTTTAATTTTTTTAATTTTCAACTTTTTCAAGTATTCGATTTTCAACTTTCGTTTTGTTGATTTTTTAATTTTTCGTTGCAATTTTTCAATCTTTCAGTTTCTTGTTGCTTCAATTTTTCGAGGTTTGAAGTTAAACTTTTTGGATTTTTGAATTTTTTGTTTTTTCAAATTTGGATTTTTTAATTTTTTTTCGATTGTACAATTTCCAAATTTTCGAGTTTTCAATTTATTTTTTTTAATTTGTAAATTTTCGATTTATTTAGAATTCAGTTCCAAAATTTTTGTATTTATGAACATTTGGATTTTGTAATTTTTCATTTCTTCAATTTTCAGATTTTTCAAATGTTCGATTTTTCAGTTGTTTTTCTGATTTTCTGATTTTTCTTTGATATTCCATTTTTTTTAATTCTGATTTTTCGATTTTAGAATTTTTCACTTTTCGACTTTCTTCGATATATCTTTTTTTCTACATTTCGATTCTTCGTTTTTCAGATTTTCGATTTTCGTTTTTCCTATTTCTGGGATTTTCATGTTTTCGATATTCGAATTTTCAATTGGTTTCATTTCTTTTCGATTTCTCGATTTTTAAATTTTTCAATTCTTCGATTTTTAAAATTTTCGCATTTCCGAATTTTTGATTTGTGATTTTTTTCAATTTTTCCGCCCGTCAGTTTTAGATTTTCAATTTTTTTATTTTTCTATCTCGATATTCAAATTTCTAATTTTTTACTTTTCGAAGTCTCAAATTTCCAATACCATTCTTCAGTTTCTCGATTTTTCATTTTTTTAACTTTTCGATTTTTTGTATTCTCGAGTTCTTGATGTTTCAGTTTTTCAATAATTCGATTTTTCAAATTTTCAGTTTTCCAAATTTGGAATTATCGATTTTTTGGTATTTGAATTTTTTTAATTTTGATTTTTCGATTCTAGAATTTTCGACTTTTCGACTTTCTACATTTCTTTTTTGTATATTTCGATTCTTGGAATTTTAGATTTTCGATTTTTGGGTTTTCGGATTTCTTGGATTTTCAAGTTTTCCTATTATTTCATTCATCGAATTTTCGACTTTTTTCGAGATTCGAATTTTCAGTTGGTTTCATGTCTTCGATTTCTCGATTTTTCAATTTTTCAAGTCTTCGATTTATAAAATTTCCGAATTTTCGAATTTTTGATTTGTGATTTTTTCAATTTTTCCGTTCGTCAATTTTAGACTTTCCTCAATTTTTTTACTTTTCGATCTTTCGATATTCAAATTTCCAATTCCGTTCTTCAGTTTCCCGATTTTTCATTTTTTTAACTTTTCGATTTTTTGATTTCTCGAGTTCTCGATAGTCTCGATATTTCAGTTTTTCAATAATTCGATTTTTCAAATTTTCAATTTTTCAAATTTGGAATTTTCGGTTTTTCCATTCATCGATTTTTCGATATTAGAATTTTTTTTAATTGATTTTTCGATTCTGGAATTTCAGACTTTTCGACTTTCTACATTTTTTTTTTTTGTATATTTCGATTCTTGGAATTTTAGATTTTCGACTTTTGGGTTTTCGGATTTCTTGGATTTTCAAGTTTTGCTATTATTTCATTCATCGAATTTTCGACTTTTTTTCAATATTCGAATTTTCAGTTGGTTTCATTTCTTTTCGATTTCTCGATTTTTCAATTTTTCAATTCTTCGATTTTTAAAATTTCCGTATTTTCGAATTTTTGATTTGTGATTTTTTTCAATTTTTCTGCTCGACAATTTTAGACTTTTCATTTTTTTTACTTTTCGATCTCTCGATATTCAAATTTCCAATTTTTTACTTTTCGAAGTCTCAAATTCTATTCTTCAGTTTCTCGATTTTTTTTTTTATTTTTCGAGTTCTCGATTTCTCGATGTTTCACTTCTCAATATTTCGATTTTTCAAATTTTCAATTTTCCAAATTTGGAATTATCGATTTTTCAAAATTTAGATTTTTCGATATTAGAATTTTTTTAATTTTGATTTTTGGATTTTCGATTTTCGGTTTTCTGATTTCTTGGATTTTCAAGTTTTCTATTAATTCATTTTTCGATTTTTTTTCGATGTTCGAATTTTCAATTGTTTTAGATTTGTGATTTATTAAATTTTCCAATCCTCAGTTTTAGACTTTTCAATTTTTTTTACTTTTCGAATATTCGATATTCGAATTTTCAATCTTTTTATTTTTCGATTTTTCGACTTGTCACTTGTCAGTTTTTTTTTTTCTTTTCGATTTCTCAAATTTTCAGTTCCATTCTTCAGTCTTTCGGTTTTTCAAGACAGATTTTGGCACTTTTGACATTTTCGGAACATAATTATCCTACAAGAAAATAGAGGGTGGGTGGGCGGGGTTTTAGTACTTGCTACGATAAGACTGATTTTGGCAAATCACGTATCCTGTGAAAAAATAGAGGGTGGGTGGGCGGGGTTAGTATTTGACAAGATAAGACTGATTTTGGCACTTTTGACATTTTCCACCATTTTTCAACTATTTTCGAAATTTCATAAACCACAAATGGAGAAGTATAAATATTGTTATACAATTCCATTTGTTCAGATTTTTCGATGTTAAAGTCATTCATAGGAATAATAAATGATGTAGGTCCAACTGCACCTCCTTGAAGAACTCCTAGTCGCCTAGATTTTAAATTTGACGGATGATTAACGAAATCTTATCGAATTTTTATCTATATAGATTTACATTTTTTACTGTCTAGTGATATTTTGTGATTTAATAATAAATAAATCCTAAATAAGAATCGTTAGTAGTCCAATGACCAAATTATCTCTTCAACAACATCGGCGTCTTGTTAAACTAACACATCCATCTATCACCAACTCCCAGTTCAACGCCCTCCATTATTTGGTTAGCGATTCGAAATGCGAGCTCTTGAACCCATCAATTTTACATTTTTATTTTAATAATTCAGAACTCATTTAATTCGCGTCTCCGTTCCACACGACGCGACGCCAAAACGCGCCCATCGCAAGGCCGACTTCCTGCCATCTTCGATTACAGCGTTATCAACATCGCCTCAAAACCAATCACACCGACTCAGAGCGATTTAACACGCGATTTCGCCGGAATTGAGTGCACATTTTTTTTGCAAAACATGTAGGATCAAGCATTGAAAAACGCAATTGTTGTTTGTACCGCTGGAGAATGGTTGCTCGAGCTTGAAATATAAATAATATTATCATTGGGAGATAGCTTAGTAATGCTTTGCTGCTCGCGTGGAAGAATAATCAACGATTTATGTTTAAATTTTTTTTTTTTGATGTCACTGAAGCCACTCCTGTAACGAAACCATGAATGGCTAGAATTGCTCAATATATGCACGGTCAGGCTCTTCCTGTACGGAGTATTTCATTCAGGAAGACTAAAGCTGATTTTAGAGCCAACTCGGTACTCATTTAGTCGTGTTTACAAAGTAAGTAACTATGAAAATAAACATTGCTACGAAATAATTAATCCTTACATAATAAAGTCGTTAACGAGCGTCCTTCCCTTGTAATTTATCTAAATTGCAAGATGTAGTTAGTGAGCCGGTCGAGGTTATTGCCACTGCGGCTATCGATACGATATTTAAGCAAATTTTATTTATTTGTTCGTTATTTTTCTGCGTTCGCTCAATCTTAAGTCTTAACATCAATTATTAGGGGCATACTTGTGCGGAAACGCCCCTTAATTAAAATAAACTAGTCAATTGCTCAGGTTTTTTCAATTATGGTCGTAATTGTGGCAAACCAGTTGTGGTAATTAATCAGTGCGTCGAGCGGTTTTATTTATTGGGTGCTCTCTAGTTGTGTTGTTTTCGTTTATTTATTGGAATTTCGTTTCAGGACCCAGAGGACCAGATCTGTTATAGCCGAAGGGGTCTACAACAATGCACATTTCATGCATTCAGCCACTCTACAAATCGGAAACGTTGTTCGCATTAAAACGGCGTCCGGCGTAGTATGGGAAGGTAAAAATAATTTAGTTTTTTTAAAAGCGAAAATCGTTGCGGAATTTCACTCATTTTTCCGTTTTTTGTGTGTTCGAAAATTAGCTTAGTTTCCATTCCGACTCCATAGAAGAACATAATTAGCCCCGCCCACCCACACGGTCTCCTTTTCAGTGATTGATTTTATCCGAAATTAATGACTTTGTACTGAAAAGAAATAAAATTAGTTCTTAAAATGAGAAGGGGGGGGGGGGGGGTAGTGCTTGCTAAGATAAGACTGATTTTGGCAAATCACATATTCTCTAAGAAAATAGAGGGTGGGTGGGCGGGGCTAATATTTGATAAGTTGAAACTGATTTTGGCACTTTTGACATTTTCGATCATTTTTCAGCCATTTCCGGGAATTAATTGGACAACTTTTGAATATACTTGGCCCCACCCACCCACCCTGCCTCCTTTTCAGTTATTCATTTTATCCGAAATGAATGAAATGAATCATCTTGTACTGAAAAGAAATAAAATTAGTAGTAAGAATGAGAAGGGGGGGGGGGGGCAGGGCTAGTACTTGCTAAGATAAGGCTGATTTTGGCAAATCACATAGCTTCCAAGAAAATAGAGGGTGGGTGGGCGGGGCTAGTATTTGATAAGATTTTTCGATATTCGATTTTTTTTAATATTGATTTTTCGACTTTGATTCTTCGTTTTTTAGATTTTCGATTTATCGTTTTTCTGATTTCTGTGATTTTCATATTTTGGCATTTTTCATTTATCGAATTTTCGATTTTTTTCGATATTCGAATTTTCATTTGGTTTTATTCCTGTTCAATTTTTCAATTTTTAAAATTTTCGAATTTTGGAATTTTTGATTAGTGGTTTTTTCAATTTTTCCGCTCTTCAGCTTCAGATTTTGATTTTTTTTTACTTTTCATTTTTTTTTATTTTTCGAGTTCTCGATTCCTCGGTGTTTCAGTTTTTCAATATTTCGCTGTTTTAATTTCGCAGTTATTCGATTTTTCAACTTTTCGGCTTTTAGATTTTTCAAATTTTCAATTTCCCAAATTTAGAGTTTTCGATTTTTCGATATTCAAGTTTTTTAATTTTGATTATCGACTTTTTAGATTTCTTTTTTCTATATTTCCATTCTTGGATTTTTAGGTTTTCGATTTTCCTTTTCCGATTTCTTGGATTTTCAAGGTTTCTATTATTTCATTCATCGAATTTTCGTTTTTTTTTCGATATTCGAAGTTTCAATCTTTTTATTTTTCGATTTTTTTTTTCGATTATTCGATATTCGAATTTTTAATCTTTTTATTTTTTTATTCGTTTCTTAATTTTTTAGATTTTTCACTTCTTTTGGATATGTAATTTTTAGATCTACTTTTTTTTTAGACCCAAAATTTTGTGTCTTTTAAATTATTGAAATTTTTCGAAAATTCGATTTTTCAACTTTCTTTTTCTTGATTTTTTAATTTTGCGATCTTTCAGTTTCTTGTTGCTTCAATTTTTCAAGTTTTGAATTTTTATTTTTTCAACTTTGGAAATTTTTGATTTTTTTTCGATTGTTCAATTTGCAGTTTTTCGAGTTAATACTATTTTAATTTTTTTAAACTTTCAAATTTTCAATTTATTTAGAATTCAGTCCCAAAATTTTGTATTTTTTAATTTTTGAATATTTGGATTTTGTAATTTTTCATTTCTTCAATTTTCAGATTTTTCAAATGTTCGATTTTTCAGTTCTTTTTCTGATATTTTTATTTTTCCTTTCTTCAATTTTTGGATCTTTAGTTTTTTATTACTTCAAATTTTCGAGTTTCAAGTCTAAATGTTTTAATTTTTTTATTTTTCAGCTTTTCAATTTTTTTAAATTTTTTAATTTTTCATTTCTTCAGATTTTTCGATTTTTTCCTTTTTGCTTTTTTCAATTTTCCAACTTTTCAATATTTTCATTTCTTAAACTTTGTTTTTCGGTTTTTTACAATTTTCATAGTTTCCAATTTCAATATTTAAGTTTACAGATTTTGAATTGTTTGATTTTTTTAATTGTTCATATCTTGATTTTTTAGATTTTCAATTTTTTTGGTATTTAGTTTTTAGATCTACAATTTTTCTCTGTATTTATTAACTATTGAATATTACGATTTGACAATTTTTTTATTTTTTCAATTTCCAAATTTTTCAAATATGTATTCGATTTTTCAACTTTCGTTTTTATTAATTTTTTAATTTTTCGATCTTTCAGCTTCTTGTTGCTTCAATTTTTCGAGTTTTGAAGTTAAAATTTTTGAATTTCCGAATTTTTGATTTTTGAATTTTTTGTTTTTTCAACTTTGGAGTTTTTTTTTCGATTGTTCAATGTACAATTTTTCTAGTTTTCAATTTTATTTTTTTTGAAACTTTCAAATTTTCAATTTATTTAGAATTTAGTTCCAAAATTTTGTATTTTTAAATTTTTAAATGTTGGATTTTGTAATTTTTCATTTCTTCAATTTTCAGATTTTTCAAATGTTTGATTTTACAGTTTTTTTGATTTTCTGATTTTTTTTCGATATTCCATTTTTTTTAATTCTGATTTTTCGATTTTAGAATTTTTCACTTTTCGACTTTCGATATATCTTTTTCTTCTACATTTCGATTCTTCGTTTTTAGATTCTCGATTTTCGTTTTTCCTATTTCTGAGATTTTCAGGTTTTCGATATTCGAATTTTCAATTGGTTTCATGCCTTTTTAATTCCTCGATTTTTCGATTTTTAAAATTTTTTCGAATTTTTGATTTGTGATTTTTTCAATTTTTCCGCTCGTCAATTTTAGACTTTTCAATTTTTTTATTTTTCGATCTTTCGATATTCAAATTTCCAATTTTTTACTTTTCGAAGTCTCAAATTCCCAATTGCATTCTTCAGTTTCTCGATTTTTCATTTTTTTAACTTTTCGATTTTTCAAATTTTCAATATTCCTAATTTGGAATTTTCTATTTTTCAATTTATCGATTTTTCGGTATTAGAATTTTTTTAATTTTGATTTTTCGATTCTAGAATTTCAAACTTTTCAACTTTCTACATTTCTTTTTTTGTATATTTCGATTCTTGGGTTTTTAGATTTTCGATTTTCGGGTTTCCGGATTTCTTGGATTTTCAAATTTTGCTATTTCATTCATCGAATTTTCGCCTTTTTTTCGATATTCGAATTTTCATTTGGTGTCATTTCTTTTCGATTTCTCGATTTTTCAATTTTTCAATTCGTCGATTTTTAAAATTTCCGCATTTTCGCATTTTCGAATTGTGGTTTTTTCAATTTTACCGCTCGTCAATTTTTTTTACTTTTCGATCTTTCGATATTTAAATTTCCGCCTTTTTACTTTTCGAGGTCTCAAATTTCCAATTCCATTCTTCAGTTTCTCAATTTTTCATTTTTTTAACTTCGATTTTTTGATTTCTCGAGTTCTCGATTTCTCGATGGTTCACTTCTCCATATTTCGATTTATTTATTTGGAATTATCGATTTTTGAAAATTTAGATTTGTCGATAGTAGAATTTTTTTAATTTTGATTTTTAGATTTTCGGTTTTCTGATTTCTTGGATTTTCAAGTTTTTTATTAATTCATTCATCGAATTTTCAATTTTTTTTCGATGTTCGAATTTTCAATTGTTTCAGATTTGTGATTTATTAAATTTTTCCAATCAGTTTTAGACTTTTCAATTTTTTTTACTTTTCGATTATTCGATATTCGAATTTTCAATCTTTTTATATTCTTCATGATTTTGGCACTTTTAACATTTTCGACCATTTTTCAGCCATTTCCGGGGATTAATTAGACAATTTTTCAATATACTTAGCCCCACCCACCCACCCTGCCTCCTTTTCGGTTATTCATTTTATCCGAAATGAATGAAATGAATCATCTTATACTGATAAGAAATAAAATTAGTAGTAAGAATGAGAAGAGGGGGGTGGGCAGGGCTAGAACTTGCTAAGATAAGGCTGATTTTGGCAAATCACATAGCTTCCAAGAAAATAGAGGGTGGGTGGGCGGGGATAGTATTTGATAAGATTTTTCGATATTCGATTTTTTTTTAATATTGATTTTTCGACTTTGATTCTTCGTTCTTTAGATTTTCGATTTATCGTTTTTCCGGTTTCTGGGATTTTCATGTTTTGGAATTTTTGATTCATCGAATTTTCGATTTTTTTCGATATTCGAAATTTCACTTGGTTTCATTCCTGTTCAGTTTCTCAGTTTTCAAAATTTTTGAATTTTGGAATTTTTGATTTTGATTGGTGGTTTTTTCAATTTTTCCGCTCTCAGGTTCAAATTTTGATTTTTTTTTACTTTTCGATTTTTCGTTTTTTTACTTTTCATTTTTTTTATTTTTCGAGTTCTCGATTTCTCCGTGTTTCAGTTTTTCAGTATTTCGCAGGTATTCGATTTTTCAAATTTTCAATTTTCCAAATTTGGAGTTTTCGATTTTTCGATATTCAAGTTCTTTTAATTTTGATTATCGACTTTTCGACTTTCTATATTTCTTTTTTCGATATTTCCATTCTTGGATTATTAGGTTTTCGGTTTTCCTTTTCCGATTTCTTGGATCTTCAAGTTTTCTATTCATCGAATTTTCAGTTGGTTTCATTTCTTTTAGATTTCTCGATTTTTCAATTTTTCCACTCCTTTCAAATTTTTTACTTTTCGATTATTCGATATTCGAATTTTCAAGCTTTTTATTTTTTTATTCGTTTCTTCATTTTTTAGATTTTTCAATTCTTTTGGATTTTTAATTTTTAGATCTACATATTTTTGTAGATGTCACTCCCGAAAGGTTGTTTTTTTTAACTATTAATATTTCGATTTTGTGATTTTTCATTTTTGCATTTTTTAGATTTTTCAACTTTCGTTTTCTTGTTGCTTTAATTTTTCGAGTTTTGAAGTTAAAATTTTTGAATTTTCAAATTTGTTTGAATTTTTTATTTTTTCGACTTTGGAAATTTTTGATGTTTTTTTTGGATTGTTCAATTTGCAATTTTTCGAGTTTCCTATTTTAATTTTTTTAAACTTCCAAATTTTCATTTTATTTTGAATTCAGTTCCAAAATTTTGTATTTTTTAATTTTAGATTTAGTAATTTTTCATTTATTTAATTTTTAGATTTTTCAAATGTTCGATTTTTCACTTTTTCCGATTTTTTGATTTTTCCTTTTTTCAATTTTTCGATTTTTAGTTTCTTTTTTCAGTGATTTATTTTATCCTAAATGAATGAAATGAATGATCGTATACTGAAAAGAAATAAAATTAGTCCTTAGAATGAGAAAAGGAAGTGGGGGGTGGGCGGGGCTAGGTCTTGCTAAGATAAAACTGATCTTGGCAAATCAAATACCTTCCAAGAAAATAGTGGGTGGGTGGGCGGGGCTAATATTTGTTCAGTTCGAACTGATTTTGGCACTTTTGACATTTTCGACCATTTTCCAGCCATTTTCGAAAATTAGTTGGACATTCTCTGAACATAATAAGCCCCACCCACCCACCCGGTCAAATTTGGTTTCATTTCTTTTCGATTCCTCGATTTTTCAGTTTTTCAAATCTTCAATTTTTAAAATTTCCGCATTTTCGATTTTTTGATTTGTGTTTTTTCCATTTTTCCCATTTTTCCGCTCGTCAATTAATTTTTTTTATTTTTCGATCTTTCCATATTCAAATTTTCAATTTTTTACTTTTCTCGATTTTTTGATTGCTCAATTTTTCAGTTTTTCAATATTTCGATGTTTCAATTTATCAGTTATTCGATTTTTTAACTTTTCGGCTTCTCGATTTTTCAAATTTCCCATTTTCCAGATGTGGAATTTTCGATTTTTCGATATTCGAATTTTTTTAATTCTAATTTTTCGATATTAGAATTTTCGACTTTCCAACTTTCGATGCACATATCTTTATTTCTATATTTCGATTCTTCGATTTTTAGATTTTCCGATTTGTTGGATTTTCATGTTTTGGAATATTTTCATCGAATTTTCGATTTTTTTTCGATATTCGAATTTTCAGTTGGTTTCGTTCCTTTTCAATTTTTCAATTATTCGATTTTTAAAATTTCCGCATTTTCGAATTTTTGATTTGTGATTTTTTCAATTTTTCCATTCGTCAATTTTATTTAGACTTTCAATTTTCTTTACCTTTGGATCTTTCGATATTCAAAATTTTCAATTTTTTAGTTTCGAATTCTCAAATTTCCAATTACATTCTTCAGTTTCTCGATTTTTTTACCTTTCGATTTTTTGATTCTTGCTGTTTCTGTTTTTCAATATTTCGATATTCCGATTTCTTGGTTATTCTATTTTTCAACATTTCCATTTTTCGAATTTTTTTAATTTTGCATTTTCGGTTCTAGGATTTTCGACTTTCTATATTTCTTTTTTTCTGTATTTTGATTCTTGGATTTTTAGATTTTCGATTTTCGGTTTTCCGATTTCTTCAATTTTCAAGTTTTCGATATTCGAATTTTCAATTGGTTTCATTTCTTCTCAATTTCTGCATTTTTCCATTTTCAATTCTTCGATTTTTTTCAATTTTTCCACTCCTCAGTTTTAGACTTTCCAATTTTTTTACTTTTCGATTATTCGATATTCGAATTTTCAATCTTTTTATTTTTCGAATTTTCAATTTTTCAATTTTTACATTCTTCAGTCTTTCGATTTTTCATGACAGATTTTGGCACTTTTGACATTTTCGACCATTTTTCAACTACATATTTTGATATTTTCAGAACATAATTAGCCCCGCCCACCCACCCTGTCTCCATTTCAGTGATTAATTTTATCCAATCTGAATAAAATGGTGATCTTATACTGAACAGAAATGAAATTAGTCGTTAGAATGACAAGAGGGGGGTGGGTGGGCGGGGCTAGTACTTGATAAGATAGCAGTATCAGTTTCAACAATGAAGTTCGACAAATCTTAGTTGACCAACTGTTAACTGTCAAAAATTCAGAAAGGTCGACATTCAGTCAGATCGAGTTATCTGCTTTTTTTCGATATTAGTCCTTGAAGATTATCATGAGTTGTATTTTTCAGGCGTGTTCAAGACGTTCTCGAGCAACTTCGACGTCGTCCTCGAGGTGGCCGCGAAAGTCGACAACCCGAACGGCCCCGCCCAGACCCTGATCGCCGACAGCCTCGTCGACAAGCTGATCTTCAAGTCGGGCGACATCTCGACGATGGAGGCCCGCGACGTCGACCTCGAGTACCCGACCAAGGACACGTTTCAAACCGACACGGCGATATCGGCCCGCCTCAACGGCAACAGCACCAAGTCCGAGGAGAAGGAGCTCGAGCCGTGGGACGCCTCCTCCGGCGTGAACGGCGGCGGCGGCGAGAACGTCCCCCTCGAGCTCGAGAACGCCAACGGCTGGGACGCGAACGACATGTTCAGGAAGAACGAGCAGGAGTACGGCGTGACGAGCACCTTCGACCAGTCCCTCAAGGGCTACACGGTGCCGCTGCGCAGCGCCGACACCGCCGACTACCGGGAGGCCGAGGCCAAGGCCACGCAGATCGCCAACGAGATAGAGAACCAGCCCCAGTACAAGGCGCGGCTCGAGCTCGAGAACGGGGACGAGGAGGCGGCGTTCGCGGCGGTGGCGCGCCCCAACCAGGAGCCCAACGACAAGTACATCCCCCCGGCGAAGCGGAAGAACCAGAACTCGGGCAAGCTGGTGCGCAGCACGCCGCCCCCGCCCCAGGCGCAGAACGCGCCGTCGCCGAAAGGGACGGCCCCGCCGCCGATGGCGTACCCCACGCACCCGTCGCCGGCGCCCGTCCCCAACAACGTGATGCCGCACATGCCGCAGATGGGCATGCAGCCGCAGCACCACGGCCGCCCGCACTCGCACACGCCGCCCCACGGCTACGGCGGCCAGATGCAGCGGCCGCCGCAGATGGGGCAGAAGGCGGCGCAGCAGATGAACGGCGACGCCAAGCCGCCGATGCGGGGGCCGCGGGGGGTGTATCCGGGGAGCAACAACGGCCCGCCGCAGGGGTACCAGGAGCCGGCGAAGGCGCCGCCGCCGCCGGAAGCGGCGATGGGACACAGGCACCCGAGGGACGACACGATCAAGGAGCTGCACGGGTTCGCGCAGGACTTCAAGCTGCCGCCGGCGGAGCAGCCGCCGCCGACGCTGCCCGGACAAGTGCCTATGGATCAGATGGCGGCACCGCCGCCGCCGCAGGTGCAGCCGCAGCCGCAGGCTAAGCCGCCGCCGCAGAACACGCCGCCGCAGCAGCCGCAGCAGTCGATCTCGCCGCAGCAGGACGTGGTGGAGAAGGTCACGAACACGTTCAAGAAGAGCACGCTGAACCCGAACGCGAAGGAGTTCGTCTTGAATCCGGCAGCTAAGCCTTTCCAACCGAGGTATATACTGAGAATTTTATATATGACCATCGTTCTGACGTCCACTGGTTAACAATTTACCGGCGTTGTGACGTCCGACTGTAGAATGACGTCAGAGTGCGGACGTCACCTTAAATACCAATCTTCTCAAATTTTTTAGCAATTTGTATAAAATTTCTAAGAATTTTACAAACTTTTTTTAATTTGTAGCACATTTTTGAATTTTTTTTTATTTAATTTTTTTGGAATGTGCCAAAAAAAAAAAATAGAAAATCGTTTTATATAATTTAAAATTTCTGAAAATTTGTATAAATAATTTTTTCCCGTTTTTTGTTTTTTGGTCATCTGTTAGAAAAAGAACTTAGTTTTAACCTTCTGAAGATTCTCAGTTTCTTGTTGCTTCAATTTTTCCAGTTTTGAAGTCAAAATTTTTGAATTTTCAAATTTTTGATTTTTTCGCTTGTTCAATTTGCAATTTTTCGAGTTTTGTATTTTTTTTAAACTTCCCAATTTTCAATTTATTTAGAATTTAGTTCCAAAATTTTGTATTTTTTAATTTTTGAATATTTGGATTTTTTAATTTTTCATTTCTTCAGATTTTTCCATTTTTCCCTTTTTGTGTTTCGGTTTTTTATAACTTTTCTAGTTTTCAATTTCAATTTTTAAGTTTACAGATTTTGAATTGTTTGGTTTTTTTAATTTTTCGTTTCTTCATTTTTTACATTTTCAAATTTTTTGTTTCTTTAATTTTTAGATCTACAATTTTTCTAGATTTCAGTCCTAAAATTTTGTATTTATTAACTATTGAATATTAGGATTTGACAGTTTTTTTATTTTTTCAATTTTCAAATTTTTCAAATATTCGATTTTTCTACTTTCGTCTTCTTGATTTTTTAATTTTTTGTTTCAATTTTTTCAATTTTTCGGTCTTTCAGTTTCTTGTTGGTTCAATTTTTCGAGTTTTGAAGTTAAAATTTTTGAATTTTTTGTTTTTCAACTGGATTTTTTATTTTTTTTTTCGATTATTCAATTTGCAGTTTTTCGAGTTTTCAATTTTAATTTTTTTAAACTTTCAAATTTTCAATTTATTTAGAATTCAGTTCCAAAATTTTGTATATTTAAATTTTTGAATATTTAGATTTAGTAATTTTTTTCAGATTTTTCAAATGTTAGATTTCTCGGTTGTTTTTCTGATTTAGTGCTTTTTTTACTTTTTTCACATCCCAGATTCTATTAGTTTCCACTCCCACTCGACAGAAGAACATAATTAGCCCCGCCCACCCACCCGGGCTCCATTTCGGTGATTAGTTTTATCCGCTCTGAATGGATGGAATGATCTTATACTGAACAGAAATAAAATTAGTCGTTAGAATGAGGTGAGGGAGTGGGCGGGTGGGGCTAATATTTGCTAAGATAAGACAGATTTTGGCAGATGACATACCTTCCAAGAAAATAGAGGGTGGGTGGGCGGGGCTAGTATTTGATAAGTTAAAACTGACTTTGGTACTTTTCATATTATCGACCATTTTTCAAGCATTTTTTTAAATCTAAAATCGAAAAAAAATATAAAACTTAAAAATTTGAAAACAAAAATATTTTTTGCGATTTTTTTTTGATCTGTTAGAAAAAACTCAGTTATAACTTTTTGGAAATAAAAAAAAAACAACTCTTGCCCCTTATCATTTTTAATTTTAACAAATTAAAAAAAAAAATTGAAAAGATGTTTTACAATTTTTTGTTTTTTAAAGTCTGACGACATTTTTGACAATTGTGTTTTGACTTTTATTTTTTTTTAATGAGCCACAAAAAAGTTTTAAATCTACTAAGTTGATTTATATCCAATAGAAACTCGAATTTAAAGTTTCCAAAAATTAAAAAAAAACATTAAATTTTTTGTTCTTTTATTTTCAGCACATTTTTGAAAATTTACTATATTTTCTGAGATGTTCCACAAAAATTACTTCATTTTCTAAATTGGAAATCTGCTATATTTGGAATTTTTAAAATATATTTCTAAATTATTTTTTTAATCTAGGAAAGGAACTTTTTGGAAATTGTAGTAGAAGTCTAAAAAATGAAAATGTTTTGACCTTTTTTTTTATTATTATTTCCAACACTTTTTTCAAATTTCTTTTATATTTTTCATTCTATTTATTTTTTTTGAAATGTACCACAAATTACTTTTAAATGTAGAAAATCGTTTTATATCATCCAGGAAACCTAATTTAAAATTTCTGAAAATTTTTGAAAACATTTTTTTTCTAATTTTTTGTTTTTTTGATAATCTATCAGAAAAAAGTTTTAACTTTCTGGACATTCTATAGAAACTGATGTTTTTTCCTTCGATCATTTTTAATTTAAACAAATAAAAAAAATATAACATTTTTGAAAATTTGAAAACAAAAAAAATATTTTTTGCGATTTTTTTTTTTTTTTTGTTTTGATCGTCAACTCTTGCCCTCCATCATCTTTAATTTTAACAAATTAAAAAACACATTTTAGACATTTTTGAAAATTGTTAAATTTTCAAAAATTTTTGAAAATAAATTTTACAGTTTTGTTTTTTAAGTCTATTAGAAAGAGACCTTAGTTTAGACTTTCTGCAAATATTATTAAACAGATTTTTTTTCCTCAATCATCTTTAATTTTAACGGAACTTTTTCAAAATTTTTAGAACATTTTTTATTATTTTTTAATGGACCACAAAAAATTAGTTTTAAATATACTAAATCAGAAAATGTAATTTAAAATTTCTAAAATTTGAAAACGTTTGCAATTTTTGTTTTTTTTTTTTCGAGATTTAGAAAAGTAACTCGGTTTTTAACTTTTTGGAAATTTTATGAAAACATCTTATTTTCCTAAAAAAATGCCTTTTTATGTATTTTCTAATGTGATACAAAAAAATGACTTCAAAATTATAGAAAATCGCTTTATATCCAGGAAATTTAATTTAAAATTTCGAAAAAATAAAAAAAAATGTTTTTTTTTTGTTAACCTGTATAAAAAAGAACTCGCAGTTTTAATTTTCTGAAAATTCTATAAAAAAAATCTCGTTCGCTGGATCGTCTTTAATTTTAACAAATAAAAAAAAAAAAATTGAAACTTAATTTTTAGAATATTTTTGAAAATTGTTTTTGGTCGTTTTATTTTATTTAAGATGTGCCACAAAACTGGCTTACATGTTCAAAATCACATGTAATTCAAAATTTCAAAACAATGTTTATATTTTTTTTTTTCGAAATTTGTTGAAAAAAAAATCCCATATTTTTTTTTGGAAATTCTGTGTGAACATATCTTTTTCCCTCGATCATCTCTAAATTATTCTAAAAAATTTGTTTGCCGTTTATTATATTTTTTCCAAATGTGATGCAAAAATGGACCCACAGGAAATCTAATTTAAAATTTTGAAAAATTTTTGGATTTTTTTTTAGTCTGTTTAAAAAGGAAGTTTTAACTTTCTGGAAATTCTATTAAAAAAATCTTTCCCAGGATCGTCTTGAATTTTAACAATTTTTAAAAATTTTCGACATTTAATTTTTGGAACATTTTGAAAATGCTTTTTGCTTTTTATTAATTTTTACTGAAATGTGCTACAAAAATGACTTAAATGTATAAAATTTATTTATAACCTAGAAAAAATGCAATTCAAAATTTCCAAAAATTTTTGAGAACGAGTTTTTTTGCATTTTTTTAACTTGCCAGAAAAAACTAAATGAGTTTTAACTCTTTGAAAATTCTATAAAAAAATATTTCTTTTTCTCTGGATCTTCTCTAATTTCATCTCTAAATAATTCCAAAAAAATTGCCATTTTATTATATTTTTTCGAAATGGGATGCAAAAATGACTTTAAAATGTATAAAATTTATTTATTACCTAGAAAAACGTAATTCAAAATTTCCAAAAATTTTTGAAAAAGAATTTTTTGCCTTTTTAACTTGCCTGAAAAAACTAAATGAGTTTTAACTTTATGAAAATTCTATAAAAAAATATTTCTTTTTCTCTGGATCTTCTCTAATTTCATCTCTAAATAATTCTAAAAAGAAATTGTTTTATTATATTTTTTCGAAATGTGACACAAAAATGACGTAAATATACAAAATCGATTTATATTCTATAAGAAATCTGATTTAAAATTTCGAAAAATTTTTGAAAACATTTTTTGTTGTTAATCTGTTTAAAAAATTTAGAACTCGCATTTTTAACTTTCTGGAAATTCTATAAAAAAATTTCTTTATTCCTCCATCATCTTTAATTTTAACAAATCTAAAAAATTTTGAGAACATTTTTGAAAATTGTTTTTGCCTTTTATTTATTTTTTCTGAAATGTGCTACAAAAATTACTTTTAAATGTATAAAATTTACTTATAACCTAGAAAAAATGTAATTCAAAATTTCCAAAAATTTTTGAGAAAGAATTTTTTAATTTACCAGAAAAAACTAAATGAGTATTAATTCTCTGGAAATTCTATTAAAAATATTTCTTTTTCCCTGGATTTTCTGTAATTTCATCTTTAAATAATTCTAAAAAAAAAAATTTGCCGTTTTATTATAATTTTTCGAAATGTGACACAAAAATGTCTTAAATATACAAAATCGATTTATATCCTATAAGAAATATAATTTAAAATTTCGAAAAATTTTTTAAAACATTTTTTAGTTGTTAATCTGTTTAAAAAAGAACTCCCATTTTTTACTTTCTGGAATTTCTATTAAAAAAAAATATATCTTTATTCCTCCATCAATTTTTTAGAACATTTTTGAAAATTGCTTTTTGCCTTTTATTTATATTTTGTGAAATGTGGTCCAAAAATGACTTTGAAATGTATACAATTTATTTATTACCTAGAAAAAACGTAATTCAAAATTCCAAAACTTTTTTAAAAAGAATTTTTTGCATTTTTTAACTTTCTAGAAAAAAGAAAATGACGTTTGCCTCTCTGGAAATTCTATAAAAAGTATTAATTTTTCGTCGATCATCTCTTAATTTCATCTCCAAATAATTGTAAAAAAATTGCCGTTTTATTATATTTTTTCGAAATGGGATGCAAAAATGACTTTTAAAGGTACAAAATTTATTTATTACCTAGAAAAAATGTAATTCAAAATTTCCAAAAATTTTTGAAAAATAATTGTTTTGCATTTTTGAACTTGCCAGAAAAAACTAAATGAGTTTTAACTCCATGAAAATTCTATAAATTTTTTTTTTCTCTGGATCTTCTCTAATTTCATCTCTAAATAATTTTAAAAAGAAATTGTTTTATTATATTTTTTCGAAATGTGACACAAAAATGACAATATCGATTTATACATATTCTATAATAAATCTAATTTAAAATTTCGAAAAATTTTTGAAAACATTTTTTGCATTTTTTTAACATTCCAGAAAAAAAAACTTAATGACGTGTGCCTTTCTGGAACTTCTATAAAAAGTATTAATTTTTCCTCGACCATCTCTTAATTTCATCTCTAAATAATTGTAAAAAAAATTGCCGTTTTATTATATTTTTTCGAAATGTGATGCAAAAAATGACTTCTTAAATATACAAAATCGATTTATATCCTACAGGAAATTAATTAAAATTTCGAAAAATATATATATATTTTTTTGTTATTCTGTTTAAAAAAGAAGTTCCAGTTTTAACCTTTTGGAAATTCTATTAAAAAAAATCTTTTTTGGTCGATCATTTTTAATTTTGACAAATCTAAAAATTTAAACAAAAAAAAAAATTCTATAAAAAGGATTAATTTTTCTTCGATCATCTCTTAATTTCATCTCTAAATAATTCTAAAAAAAAATTGTCGTTTTATTGTATGTATTTTTTCGAAATGTGATGCAAAAAATTACTTCTTAAATATACAAAATCGATTTATATCCCACAGGAAATCTAATTAAAATTTCGAACATTTTTTGATTTTTTTGTTTGAAAAAGAAGTTCCAGTTTTAACTTTTTGAAAATTCTAAAAAAACATCTTTTTTCGTCGATCATTTTTAATTTTGACAAATCTAAAAATTTTCGAAACTTAATTTTTAGTACTTTTTTGAAAATTGCTCTTTGCCTTTTATTTATTTTTTCTGAAATGTGCTACCAAAGTGACTTTTAAATGTAAAAAAAATATTTATAACCTAGAAAAAATGTAATTTAAAATTTCCAAAAACTTTTGAAAAAGATTTTTTTTCGTTTTTTAACTTGCCAGAAAAAACGAAATGATGTTTGCCTTTCTGGAAATTCTATAAAAAGTATTAATTTTTGTTCGATCATCTCTTAATTTCATCTCTAAATATTTCTAAAAAAAAAATGTTTGCCGTTTTATTATATTTTTTCGAAATGTGATGCAAAAAATGTCTTCTTAAATATACAAAATCGATTTATACCCCACGGGAAATCTAATTAAAATTTCGAACATTTTTTAATTTTTTTGTTTGAAAAAGAAGTTCCAGTTTTAACCTTTTGGAAATTCTAAAAAAAAAACATCTTTTTTTCGTCGATCATTTTTAATTTTGACAAATCTAAAAATTTTCGAAACTTAATTTTTAGAACTTTATTGAAAATTACTCTTTGCCTTTTATTTATTTTTTTCTGAAATGTGCCACCAAAATGACTTTTAAATGTAAAAAAAATATTTATAACCTAGAAAAAAATGTAATTTAAAATTTCCAAAAATTTTTGAAAAAGATTTTTCATTTTTTAACTTGCCAGAACAAACTAAATGACGTTTGCCTTTCTGGAAATTCTATAAAAAGTATTAATTTTTTTAACTATTACAATGTGTAGGCAACCGCCAGCACCTACTAGTTCCAATAAAATGTAATTTAAAATTTCCAAAAATTTTTGAGAAAGATTTTTTTGTATTTTTTTAATATGCCAGAAAAAACTTTGAGTTCTCTGGAAATTCTATAAAAAATATAATTTTCCCTGAATCTTCTCTAATTTCATCTCTGAATAATTCTAAAAAAAAAAAATTTGCCGGTTTATTATAATTTTTCGAAATGTGACACAAATGACTTAAATATATAAAATCGATTTATATCCTATAAGAAATCTAATTTAAAATTTCGAAAAATTTTTGAAAACATTTTTTGTTGTTGATCTGTTTAAAAAATTTAGAACTCGCATTTTTAACTTTCTGGAAATTCTATAAAAAAATTTTTTTATTCCTCTATCATCTTTAATTTTAACAAATCTAAAAAATTTTGAGAACATTTTTGAAAATTGCTTTTTGCCTTTTATTTTTTCTGAAATATGCTACAAAAATGACTTTTAAAAGTATAAAATTTACTTATAACCTAGAAAAAATGTAATTCAAAATTTCCAAAAATTTTTGAGAACGAATTTTTTTGCATTTATTTTAACTTGCCAGAAAAACTAAATGAGCTTTAACTCTATGAAAATTCTATAAAAATATTTTTTTTCCCTAGATCTTCTCTAATTTCATCTCTAAATAATTCTAAAAAGAAATTGCCATTTTATTATATTTTTTCGAAATGTTACACAAAAATGACGTAAATATACAAAATCGATTTATATCCTATAAGAAATCTAATTTAAAATTTCGAAAAATTTTTGAAAACATTTTTTATTTTGTTAATCTGTTTAAAAAAGAACTTTCTGGAAATTCTATAAAAAAAAATCTCTTTAGTCCTCCATCATCTTTAATTTTAACAAACCTAAAAAATTTTTGAAAATTGTGTTTTTGCTTTTTATTTTGTGAAATTCGGTCCAAAAATGACTTAAATGTGTACAATTTATTTATAACTTGGAAAAAATGTAATTTAGAATTTGCAAAAATTTTTTAAAAGAAATTTTTGCATTTTTTTAACTTGCCAGAAAAACTTTGAAGAGAAAATTCTATAAAAAAAAACCTTTCTTCTTATTTCTACTTTTCTGGATCATCTTTAATTTTACATTTTTTTTAATCTTTTCTATTTTTAAAAATGTTTAAAGAAAATGTTATTTAAAGTTTTCAAACATTTTTGGAAATTTTTGTTTTTCTAAAAAAAGTTTGTTGAACTGTGGACGTCGGAACGCTATCTCCGTGTACTTCTCTGTGTATATTAATCGTATTATCCTCAGGTCGCCGAGCACGCCGTCGGCGAGCCGCCCCCACACCCCGCAGACCCCTAGTCACAGCCCCTACATCCCGGCGACCGTGAGCGGCCCCGTCGGCCAGCCGCACATGCCCGTCGTCATGCCCCTCGGCTACATGATGACGAACCCGCCGCAGTACCAGCAGCCCCAGGGCAGCCGCATGAGGAAAAGTGAGTCGCTTTCGGTGCTGCGCGCCCGAGCCGCTTGCGTTACGCCGCCCTCGTTTCCAGTCCCCATGGGCCAGATGCGCACCGACGTGACCAGCCAGATGCAGGTGGCCGCCGCCACCGGCCAGCCGCTCCTCGCGCCGCCCATCCAGCAGTTCGTCTACCCGCCGGGCATCAACCCGCAGGCCTACCCCCAGATGCACGCCCTCCGCATGTACGAGACGCAGCCGCAGATCCAGTACCTGCCCCCGAACCCGTCGAACGCGCCCAGCCCCGCGCAGCCGCCCCAGTACACGCCCGGCCAGGGCCCCCAGCCGCCGCCCCAGCAGTACCAGGCGGCGCCCCCGCCCCAGACCCACCCCCAGATCCCGCCCATCATGTGTTCCATCTTCCAGCCGCACATGATGCAGAACATGCAGTACCTCCAGCAGCCCCCGCCCCCGCAGCACCACATACCCGTCATGCTGCCCCACCAGCACCCGCAGGCGCAGCAGCACGGACCCGCCCCTTAGCGGTAATCCACGCGCTGTGGTCTAGGTAATTGTCATTGGTCCCCTCCCAAGTCCCCCCACTCCTCCCGGAAACGTTGATTTTTTATTAGTAAGTTTTGAGTTTGTTTAGTTGGTAACATCCCTCAAATGACTGTTACAGACGTCGGTGAGTCGGTTTGTATTAGGAGAAAAAGTTTTCCCGTTTTTTTTCTTTTTTTTTTACACACGTTATAGGTATAAGTACCTACGATTAGGAGGGGGTGCGCCGTCATCGGGTTTTTACTTTAAAGTAGGGTTAGGCGACCGGAGCTACGCTGTCGACCCAACACACATAACCTCACTTTCATACGAGTGCAATCGTCGCCGACTTTTTATTTAGACTGAGCGAGACCTCATGACGGTGGACCCGTCAATTTTCACTCTATTAATTTTTTTTTTGTTTACACTAAGTTGGGACTGTTTTTAATATACAAAGCTTCCATTTACATTTTTTACATCTAGTTATCGTTTACGTCGCGGAACCGTGTACAGTCCGCGACGAACCAATTGTCTCGACTCGTTTAATTCGTTCAAGACTGTACTTAGAAATAATCGAGGCCTACTTATCCAAATTAGCTCAATTTTAGTTGTTTTTAGTTGTAGGTCGACGGCCTTGGTTATTCTCTACCTTAAGCTCTAATTTAAGCTTGTATATTGATAATGGTCTATCGTGACGTCATCATTCATAATAGACAAAGTCGAAGAGATTTCAGACGGAAGTGTATAGTGACTTAGTTAATTTAACTTAAGCTTAAAAACAAAAACGAAAAGAAAAAACGTAACCACAATCAGGAGTTCGCTTCAATTTCTGTCGTCTGTAAGGTTATTTTAAGCACTTTTGTTATTTCTCACAAAATTTTATTGTTTTTTTTTTTTAATTATTATTATTATTAATATTATTGTTTGTTGTATGTTGTATTGTTGGGCCGGCCCACGCATTTCCCGCGAGCGCATTTCTTTTTTTTTATTATAATTTCGTGTTTGTTTCGGAAACAGCAGTCACGTGGTCGTGCATCTCATAACACTGATTCATTCCATTTCGAGCAGGTCATACTCGTTTGCAGCAGTTTCACTGTAACTTCGTTGATGAATAAAATTTTTAACGGGGCCCCCGCACTATTAATCGACAAGACGGGGCCCCGCCGAATAGGTGCCTTAATGTGTAAAACTTGTGTTTTTCTCATCATGTGCGATTCGATGCAATCTTGGCACCTGTCGAACGATTGTAATGACGGTAGTTGCGTTCTGTTTGTGTAAGATCAAAATTATTGATTGAGGTTTTTTTATGGATTAAGTCGATATTTAAAGCTGTACAGAGTATTTTTTTAACGGTTGGTTGTGTCGTCAACTTGGTTAGAGGATCTGTAGAGCTGTGAATATTTTCGGTGCACCATGTTGGTGCAGTAAGTATTGTCAGGAGCAAGCAAAAAAACAGAAAAATATTATTGCAGTTACAGTTGTGTGAAATTTTTTTCGCAAATAAAGTCGTTTTGGTTTTATTTGTAATGATGTGTTTTATTTCGGGGGGGAGAGAGAGGGGAGAAGTGAAGAAGGTAAGTGCCGCTGCGGGTCAGCGTGGACCGTACTACGTTGGAGCGCTGTGATTGGTGGACAGGTTGTGCCAGATTTAGTGCTAATATCTCGAGTGAGCGGCAAAAGCAGAGCCCACTTTGAACATTCGCTTAGGTAAAAAATGGAGGCAATTTAAAATATTTCTAAATTTTCTCCATTCTCTCAGTTCGAATTGATGAAATTTAAATCACAGGAAGTCTTTTCCAAGACAAAAAAAAAATGTGATTTTAGTTTTCTATAAGTTTTCAATTTCTTTAACAAGTAAAATTTTCAAAAAAAATTCTTTCAATTTTTTTTTGTTTCAAAAATCGTTTTTAATTTTAACAACTCTAAAAAAAATTGAGACTTCAGTTTATACAATATTTTTGAAAATAGTTTTTTGGCGTTTCGTTTATTTTTTTTTTAAGTTCCCAAAAAAATCGAAAATATTTTTAGCAATTTTTATTAATGTTGTTTGTATCAGTTTTATTTTATTTGTTTGAAATGTGTCACAGAAAGGACTTAAATATACAAAATCCCTGTATATCCGGCAGTCTAATTTGACATTCTTTAAAAATTTTTGGCACTATTTTTTGCATTTTTTTTTTTTTTTTTTAAATTTGTTGGAAAGTTTTTTCACTTTTTGGAAATGCCATCAAAACATCTTTTTGTGCTCTGATCATCTTTAATTTTAACGGTTGTTAAAAAAATTGTGAAACTTATTTTTAGACCATTTTTGCAAATATTTTTTTGCCGTTTTATTTTAATTTTTTGAAATGTGCCGCAAAAATGAGTTTCAAATGTGGTAAATCGATTTATATGAGGAAATTTGATTTAAAATCTCGATAACTTAAATCTGTTAGAAAAAGAACTCGCTTTTGACTTTCTTTTCATCTTCGGTTGAAAGAAAAAAAAAATTAGAGAGAAAAAAAAAATTAGAACATTTTTGAGAACTATTTTTTTGCTATTTTATTTTATTTCTTTGAAATGTTTTAAATTTCTGGAAATTCTTCAAAAAATAATTCACTTTTTTCGTCGTTAATTTTTCAATGTTGGAAAATTGTTTTTTTTTTGCCTTTTGTTTTTTTTTAATGTGCCATAAAAACATATATTTTTTACAATTTCTTGTTTTTATTTGTTCGAAAAAGAACTCAAGAGTTTTGAACACATTTGGCTTTTAAATTTACAAAATCGATTTATATCCCACAGAAAATATAATTTAAAATTTTCTTTTTGGAAAAATATTTTTCGCAATTTTTTGTGTTTTTAAAGATTAGAAACAGAACTGACAATTTTGGCTTTCTGGAAATTTGATGAAAACAGCTCCCGATCTTCTTTAATTTTAACAAATCTTAAAAAATTTTGAAGATTTATTGAATTTTTAGAACATTTTTGAAAATTGTTTTTACCCGTTATATTTTATTTCTTTGAAATGTGCCACAAAAATGACTTGCATTTTTTTTTAAATCTGTCGGTTTTGACTCTCTGGAAATTCTGTCAAGTCAATTAAAAAAAATTGAAACTTAATTTTTGGAACATTTTTGAAAAATATTTTTGTCATTTTATTTTAATTCTTTGAAATATTTTTGAAAAACATATTGTTGAGATTTTTTTAACATCCTTCGAAAAAAAACTGCTAAAACTTTTTTCTTCGTTCATCTTTAATTTTAACAAATCTAAAAAATTTTTGGAACTTTTTTCAATTTTTAGAAGAATTTTCAAAATAGTTTTTTCCATTTTAAGTTTTTTGAAATGTGCAATAAAAATGAGTGTTAAATGTAGTAAATCGATTTATATCACACAGGAAATCTAATTTAAGGTTTTTAAAAATTTTTGAAAACATGTTTTTGTTTCTCAAAAATCTGTTGGAAAAGAACTCATAGTTTTAACTTTCTGGGAATTTTATAAAAAACATGTTTTTCCCTCAATCATTTTTAATTTTAACAAATCTCAAATTTTGAGACCTCAGTTTTTAGAATGATTTTGAAAATTGTTTTTTAGCGTTTAATTTTTTTTAAATTCTCAAAAAATTATGAAAATGCTTTTATCTGTTGAAACAAGAACTTAATAGTTTTAATTTTCTGGAAATTGTATAAAAAAAAACTCTTTCCCTCCATCAATTTTAATGATCATAAATTTCAAAAAATTTGAAACTTTCCTTTTTTATACCATTTTTGAAAATTGTTTTTTTTTTATTTTATTTCTTTGAAATGTGCCACAAAAATAACTTAAACATGTATACAAAAGCCATGTATATCCGATAGTCTAATTTGAAATGTGAAACTTTTTATTTTTAGACCATTTTTGAAAATGATTTTTTGCCATTTAATTTTAATTTCTTGAAATGTGTCACGAAAAATGAGTTTTAACTGTGTAAATCGATTTATATTAGGAATTTTAATTTAAAATTTCGATTTTTTGTTTTCTAAATTTAAAAAAAATGAAAGCATTTCTTTCAATTTTTAGAGTAATTTTGAACATTGTTTTTAGTCGTTTTATTTTATTTTTTTGAAATCTGCCATAAAAATGACTTTTAATATACAAAATCGTTTTAAATCCTAGGGAAAATTAATTTAAAACTTCCAAAAATTTTTGAAAAAAATGCCTACTTTTTGCATTTTTGTTTTTTAAAAACGGTTTTTTACTTTCTGGAAATCCTATCAATACAAATCTTTCAGTGCCGCGATCATCTTTAATTTGAACAAATCTGAAAAAAAAATTGAGACTTCAGTTTTTAGAATATTTTTAAAAATTGTTTTTTTGGCGTTTTATTTATTTTTTTTAATTCCTAAAAAATTTTGAAAATATTTTTCGGCATTTCTTGTTTTTTTTTAAGTATCAGTTGAAACAACTGAAGAGTATTTTGTAAAAAGCAACTAAAGAAATTTTGTAAAAAGCAACTCTTTTCCTCTATTAATTTCAATTTTAATTTTAATGAATTTTAAAAATTTTGGAACATTCCATTTTGGTAATATTTTTGAAAATTCTTTTTGGTATTTGTTACAAAAAGAACTCAGAGTTTTGACTTTTTGGGAATTCTACCAAGATCCTCTTTTTCTCTCGATTGCGATTTTCTTTTTTTTTAACACCGTTCGAAAAGAAGTGTTGAATTTCTGGAAATTCTTAAAAAAATAATTCTCTTACGATAAAGATGAACGAAGAAACATCTTCGTTCATCTTTAATTTTAACCAATCTAAAATTTTTTGAAACTTTTACTTTTTGAAAATTGTGTTTTGCCATTTAGATTTTTTTTAAATGTGCCACAAAAACATTTTTTTACAATTTATTGGTTTTTATTAATTGTTAGAAAAAGAACTCAGAGTTTTGAATTTTTGGAAATTCTACCAAGATCCCCTTTTTCTTCGATCTAAAAAAATTTTGAAACATTTTTCATTTTTAGATAATTAAAAAAAAACATTTTTGCCATTTCATTTTATTTCTTTGAAATTAGCCGCTTATTCGGCTTTTAAATTTACAAAATCGATTTATATTCTATGGAAACAATTGTAAAATTTGAAAAGATTTTTTAAATATTTTCTGCGATTTTTTAAATTTTTTAACCTTTCAATTTTTAGAACATTTTTGAAGTTTTATATAATTCATTGAAATGTGCCACAAAAATGATTTAAATTTACAAAATCGCTTATATTCTAAAGAAAATTTCAAAAAATGTTTGGTATTTTCTTTTTTTTAACACCGTTCGAAAAGAAGTGTTAAATTTCTGGAAATTCTTAAAAAAATAATTCTCTTACGATAAAGATGAACGACGAAAAATCTTCGTTCATCTTGAATTTTAACCAATCTAAAATTTTTTGAAACTTTCACTTTTTGAAAATTGTCTTTTGCCATTTAGATTTTTTTTAAATGTGCCATAAAAACATATTTTTTTACAATTTATTGGTTTTTATTAATTGTTAGAAAAAGAACTCAGAGTTTTGAATTTTTGGAAATTCTACCAAGATCCCCTTTTTCTCTCGATCTAAAAAAATTTTGAAACATTTTTCATTTTTAGATAATTTAAAAAAAAAATTGCCACTTCATTTTATTTCTTTGAAATTAGCCGCTTATTTGGCTTTTAAATTTACAAAATCGATTTATATTGTATAGAAACAATTGTAAAATTTGAAGATTTTTCAAATATTTTCTGCAATTTTTAAAATTTTTTAACTTCTCAATTTTTAGAACATTTTTGAAGTTTTATATAATTCATTGAAATGTGTCACAAAAATGACTTGAATTTACAAAATCGCTTATATTCTAAAGAAAATTTGAAAAAATGTTTGCGATTTTCATTTTTTTTTAACACCGTTCGAAAAGAAGTGTTAAATTTCTGGAAATTCTTAAAAAAATTATTCTCTTGCGATAAAGATGAACGAAGAAAAATCTTCGTTCATCTTGAATTTTAATCAATTTAAAATTTTTTGAAACTTTCACTTTTTGAAAATTGTCTTTTGCCATTGTATACGTGTTGTATATGTTTTTATGAAATATATTATTATTATTATTATTTAGATTTTTTTTAAATGTGCCATAAAAACATATTTTTTTACAATTTATTGGTTTTTATTAATTGTTAAAAAAAGAACTGAGTTTTGAATTTTTGGAAATTCTACCAAGATCCCCTTTTTCTCTCGATCTAAAAAAAAATTTGAAACATTTTTCATTTTTAGATAATTTTTGAAAATTATTTTTTACCATTTAATATTATTTCTTTGAAATTAGCCACAAATTTGGCTTTTAAATTTACAAAATAGAAATTATTGTAAAATTTGAAAACATTCTTTGAACAATGTTTTCTGCAATTTTTCAAATTTTTTAAGTGTGTTAACTTTTTTCATTTTTTTGAGTATTTTTGAAATTTTATATAATTCTTTGAAATGTGACACAAAAATTAGTTTTAAATGTACTAAATCGTTTTCTATCCTACAAGAAATGTAATTTGAAATTTTCAAAA